ATGTCTGAGATATGGCCGGAGGAAATGACAACTTGAAGTTACATTCGTGGGCAGAGTCATACTTTATGCTGGATTAAAGTGGTTCGGATACTGGCAATCAGATAAGGGCTCTTATGACGTTTACATTGGCAACTTTATGGCCGAATGCAGCACTTTGGATCCCAGCTAAGTCAATAAAAGTTCTGGATTTCCTGCTTTGTGCGGCTGTAAAGCCATCAAACAATTGCCCAGACATTCCATTTCACTCCATACCATACCATAGACTTATCAGTCTGGATTGTGTTGTAAATCTATACAAGTTCCTCGTACTTAAGACTGATTGCACTTTGGACGGCAAGCGCCACAAGTGCAGGCCCCAATTGTAAATTTCCATGGAAGATTTCCGAGCGGAATGAAAGGAACGAATCTAGGACAATAGCGATGAGGAGATGGTGATGGGAAAGGCCCTCGGGAGATGGCCACCAATAAATCACAATGCAATCGCCCAACAAAAGTGATAAGTGCGGCTCTGTGTGCCTTTGACAAACAGCAATTGCCACAATAATTCAGCAATTAATTAGCATTGGCTTATTGCTTATTGTTGAAGTAGAACCAGTTCCTCGGAACGTGCAAACATACTCGAAAACAAACAACGTTGCTATTGCTATTTCGCTATTGGCATTAGAATTCACTCGATTTCAACGAGGCCAGTTCCGTAAATCAGTTAGAAACGGAAATGCAGTTGGCCAGCATAACAAAGCCAATAATTGCGGCTAGAAGGCGACGCGGCAATGTCATCCAACCGACATATATATTTACTATATCTGATGTTTTTCCACAAGTACAGTGTGTTTGGGGTTCTAAAATGAATAAAAGAATTTTTGAAAAAAATCACAATACCTAAGTCAATCAGCTTTTCATTTGAAAAGGCACTTATTAAATTTTTTAAATATTTTAAAATAACAAACATCATAAATTTTATCTTATTGTTGCTTTTTTTATTTGGGCTTTATATTATTAGAAAAACTAAACTAATTAAATTTTCTTGAAGATTTCATAAGATCTCAGTAAATATTTAAATATTCCCTAAAACATGCGCAGTGCAAAATAATCGATCACATTTATAAATGGACAGAATACGAAAACTGACCTTAGTGGCAATAAGTTCCGTATATTCAGTCTGAAGGTCTGAATGATCATTTCTCAAGATACCCCACCGTATGACATAGAAATCGAGGACAAAACAGTCCTGAGAACCACTGTATCGCTTGATCACGTGGAGCGAACCGATACAATCGATTTATCTGGGCAACAAAACAGTTTTTTGCATTTCCCCCTGTCGGTAAAATGTGTTCTAGTTTTACATATGTTTGCACAAATCAGTTGTAAACTACTGCGACTGGGAATCGCAAATCGGGTGTGTGAGTGTGTGTGGGAGTAATGGCTACAAATCGAATCTGAAAAGTGGGCTCGTGTTTGGCGCGCCTTCGCCATAACTCATACGCCACGTTGCGCCCGCTCCGATCCCATGACTAGAAAAAAAACGGCAAAAAATGACTTGGCACCTTGACAGAATAGTGCGCATTAGTGTGACGTCGATGCGGGCCTTTCTTTGCCCGGCTTTTGGACGAAATTTCACAGGAACGTCAGAGGTGGATGATGGAAAATTTTCAGCCAGACCAAAACGCCCACGCAGTTTTTGAGGACATTCCACCAGCAATTTTGCCCGCTGATCACATGCGTTTTTTTGTTTTAAACCAAAACACACTCCCCTTCGAGGAGAAAATAAATCAGTCGGTCGAGGCTGATGACGATATCATCGGTGGTTAACTTTCACCAACAAACCCAACACCCTGTAGCCATAGCCCATCTAATTTTGAAGGTCAGGAATCGGCAGAGAGAATCGAGAGTGGGAGATTATTATCAGGGGGTGTGGTGGTCTACCCAGTGCCCGCATTCAAACGATAGAGAGGCATTATAAATAGATCCGAAAGTGTAAAGACAAACGGAATATACACAAATTAAATAGATAAAATAGAATATAATGAAATAACAGGCTATGTAGAAATATTCGAGTACAAGACATTTTCGGAATTGCTTTTGCGTCAACCCAAAAGTGCCGGATATGCGTCTTTTCAAACATTTAAAATTTAAAAGCAAAAACTCATCTTGCCTTCGAGTGCCACTTAATTAGTCCGCAATTTAGTTGAATAAATTCAGCGAACATTTTCCCGAGAAATCAATGAACCCAAATGCAAAACGAACTCAGATTCACTTGTTGCCCGATCATAAAAACAGTAATTTAAGTATCACGTTTGCCCGTATTCATTTCGTTTTATTTACTTGCCGGCTATTTTTAAGTTTCGGCCTTTCTTTGATGGGATTTTTATGTTGCAGCGAACTGCGAGTTGGGGGGAACTTGTTTCAACTCAAGTAGAGCATCAGCGAATAACCCACCAATAAAGGCTAAAGATCAGTGCAAAAAAAAGAGGCAACCAGAGACCAAATCAAATACGTTTATGCACGAGACAAGCGAAATTCCGAGAACAGTTTGTCAAAATCCAGTTGACCCGGCAGTGTGAAACCCAAATAATTTTGAGCGTTTTTAGCCGGTTTTTTCGGCCTGTCCACCTCCTCTACTCGGTTGTAAACATCAAGCCTGGCCTTCACTTAATTTATTGCCAAAAAGTTAAGAAGAGGCAGAAATAGTTTGGCGGTAAACAAAAGGCCCCTCGACAAAAAAAAGAACAGTTCGAGGCGACAATTAATCAAGAACTCTTCTGCTCGGAGGCAAACAAGTTTCAACCATTAAGATTCTCGGAAGGAGTCGCAGTCCCAAAAATTTCAAGTCGATGAGTAAGATCTGTTAGAGAACCCTTGATGAGTTCATTTGGATAAATTAGAGCTCCCATACAAATTCTATTCGCTTTAATTATCATCAAAAATGTTTGCCTAATGGGTATTTAATTTGATAAAGTTGAATAACTGGATTAATTAATTAATTGTAATAAAACTGTTAAGAAACTGCTTTTAACTGTGACTTGGCAGTTCCTTGATGTAGTAAAAATTTTTAATTTATAGAAAACAAATAGGTTTATTTTTAGCTGCCATTCTAGATAAGAGCAAAAATTTACTACTCTGTAAATTAAAATCCTCGCCAGTTTATGGCAATAATTTATTTTAATTTATTTCCTCTGTGGAAGTGGAAGTCGTATAAATCAATCCTTATCGATATATAGTGGCGGTAATTTGAGGCACACGCTCTTTTAGCATTGATTCGAGGTGTCAGGTGTCAAGACATGCCCCAGAAATTAACGTACCATCGTCTGTTAATGATCTAAACTTTCCCATTGACGTACTCCCTTGGTCAATGCTAATCGCAGACCTTCTGGGTTCGCATTATCTCCCGGGATTTTCGAATAGCTCTGGTCTGATCCGATTCGATCCTATCTGATATTCGAGAGGAGAAACCGGTAGAAGACTAAACCTTGCCTATATATATTTTGTGTTTTTTATTATTTTTTTTGTGTATTTCGTTCACGTTTTTCTGGTTATATGGGATCGAGAATTTATAGCAAACATGACTAGATATTTTTATTTTTTTTAACGCTTTTTTGATGGTTCAGTTTCGGTTATTTTCGAGTGCTAATTTGAATACAAGTTGAGTGTCTCGGTTTATTGTTGCTCGTCGCTCGTTTGATGATGCTCGCCGATGTCTAGACAAATCGAGTGGCGTTATTTTTTTGCATGACATTAACATGATATTGGGGCAATAATCAGCGGGGTGGGCGTGTTTCGGCCAGACAGCCGATAGACTGATAGACTGGCCCCGATAATCGCTTCCCCGCAGCTGATAGCGAACTTTTTATTTTCTGATGGGAAAGTCGTTTTGGAGCAAGTTTATCTCCCGCCCGTCGACCGGCATCAATAATCGGTTTATATATTTACACCGACACTTGCGAATATTTCCCCAAAATTGAAAAGGGGTTCAATGGAGTTCAACGGCACTCGAAATTTATACATGTGATTTGCGAAAAATTCAACCCGGCTCGAACAATGCACTTTGCCACTTAATAACCGCCCAAAAGATGACAGGCGAAGTCGGAGTCCGAGTTGATTATGACCACCACTTAATGATCTTTCGGTTTGTGTATCTTCGACTCCAGCAAATAAACGCTGATTCAGTTCCCCTTAACTTCCAAGCTGCACCCACTACCCGGGTGCGATCCTCAAATCAAATTCATGGCCCATTCTGTATGCTATTGAGGTCACCTGACAACGGCTGTTAAGTTTTGTCATTGCGATTTTATTGGCTCATTAATATGGGTAATTAATGCGTTTATCTGGGCTGCATCGTGTAATGAAAACAACAGATTACATCAGATAATACTTATGGTGGGCGGGATATTGTGAGTTGATAACAAACCACTTTACAAGGGTGTAAGCGAAATGATTGTTAGCTATTTGCGAATTTATAGAACCTCTTCAACAGTTTCAGTCGATTTTATTCAATTTAATTTCAGAAAAACCTAAAAGCTAATTTAAAATACCTTTCTTATCTAAATGTTTTTAAAAATGCTTCTGTTTCATTTTCCTAGAATTTTGTATTATCGTAATATTTTTTAAATAATTGACATACCTAAGCAAACGAGTTTTTGTGCTTTTAAAAGCACTTTAGCTTAATTTTATATTTTTGCCTAGAATTTCTTAGTATTGTTGTGCTTTGTTGATGTTATAATATAAAGTACTTGTGAATTTTATGTGATTAAAAAAAGTTTTTTTCAAATGAAGAAGAGTTGTATTATCAGACATTTTTTCGGCGTTTTAGTGGGTTTTTTCTAAGTCGCTGGTCGCCTGATTTTTCGACTTTCTAGGAATATTCCAGAGCTGAATTTTAAGTGTCTAACCTTCCGACGACCCAGACGGACGACGAAACCTCGGCTTTTTCGCTAGTATCAATGTGTTCGGCTTTGCATTGAATTCTATTATTAATTGGGAACTGTTCTTCTCTTTTCCCCCAGACTTCCTGTCATGCCGCCAAGTGCTGAACCTGCTGACCATGCTCGGCTTCATGCTGAACTACGCCCTGCGAGTGAACCTCACCATTGCCATCGTGGACATGGTCCGGCCAAATGTGACGTCGCAGGCGGGAAATGCCACCTTAGCGGGAAATAACACGGGAAATAGCACTGCCTCGCCGGACGGAGTGGATGTGTACGAGGAGCGCTTTCCGTGGGACACCTACCAGACCAACTTCGTGCTGGGCTGCTTCTTCTGGGGCTACATCCTCACCGAGCTGCCCGGTGGCCGTCTGGCCGAGCTCATCGGTGGACGCCGCGTCTTTGGACATTCCATGCTGTGGGCCAGTCTGCTCACCCTGATCACGCCGCTGGCGGCGCACATCAACTATGTGGTGCTCATCGTGGTTCGAGTGGTGCTCGGCTTCATGCTGGGCGCCTCCTGGCCAGCCATTCACCCCGTGGCCGCCGTCTGGATTCCGCCCATGGAGCGCTCCAAGTTCATGTCCAATATGATGGGTAAGTTTTTGGAAATTAAAAGATCTTTGTTGGAGTTTTTCTTTAAATTAAATTGAGAAAATATAAGTCAAATCTTTGGGGACCTAAACGCTCCTTACATTACCGATATAATACTATTCCGGAATTTTTTTATAGATGTTCTTTGTCGAGAAAATTTTAGAAAAATGAACCGAAAAATATATCCTTTTAATAACTTTTTTTTTCTGGTTCAGTTACATTATATTATTCTACAAAAATTTTGCTTTATAAATATAATCTATTGTGGGTGTCACAGAAATTATTTCCAACCGAAATCCGTTAAAGTTCTTACGTGCATCAATGCAAAATTCAACCGTCTTCGGTTGGAAGAGATTTCTGTGACACCCCTGTATATACATTTTTTCTATGATCTTGCTGAGTTTTATGTACCTAATAATATTCTTTGTCCGCCCAAGAGAGCTATTTCACCTAGTTCTTCCAGTACTAACTAGTATTTTTTATTTATCCCTTAGCTTCTTCCCTTGGCGCTGCGATTACCATGCCCATCTGTGGCTACCTGATCTCCGTTGCTGGCTGGGCCAGTGTCTTCTATCTGACTGGAGCCGTGGGTCTGCTGTGGTCCCTGGCCTGGTTCACCTTCGTCTACGAGACCCCGGCCACCCATCCCAGGATTTCGGCTGAGGAGAGGCGGGAGATCGAGGAGGCCATTGGCACCACCACCTCCAAGAAGCGCCCGAGTCATGTGCCCTGGGGTCAGCTGCTCTGCTCTCCGGCTGTCTGGGCCATCATCATCTGCCATGGACTCGCCGTCTTTGGTTTCTTCACGGTGGTCAATCAGCTGCCCACTTTTATGTCCAAGATTCTGCACTTTGACATCAAGCAGGTGGGTTTCTTAAATAAGGGATATCTGTTGATTTATCCTAACTAACCGATTTTTATCTCCTGCAGAACGGCTTGTTCTCATCGCTGCCTTATCTGGGCAAATACGTTATGGCTGTGGCCTCATCCTACCTGGCCGATTACCTGCGCAAGAAGGGTACTCTGAGCACGACGGCGACCAGGAAACTATTCACTACTTTTGGTAAGTTTTTTGGGTAGAGGAGAAATATTTATTATAAACATCTCGAGAGTTTTTCTATTGCTCTTTCAATATTTAGTATTTATCTTGAATATTTAAAAAGTATTTTCTAGGAAAATAAATCGTCATAAAATTAAAACCAGAAAACATAATAATTTATATAGCAAATCTATAAATAAATTAGTTTAAAAAAATTCAAGTTCAACGGAAATAGATTTTTCTGATGAAATTCATATTATATTTATATATTTTCCTGGTGAAACAAGTATTATAAATTCTCTTTTTCCTCCACTACAGCCTTGGTGATTCCGGGTCTGCTGATGATAGTGCAAGTGTTCCTGGGCTATGATGCCACCTGGTCCGTGACCATCTTCTCGCTGGCCCTGTTCGCCCATGGAGCTGTCACCGCTGGTTATCTGGGCAATGGCCTGGATATTGCACCCAACTTCAGTGGAACCATCTTTGGATTGGCCAACACGCTGTCCTCCTTTGGCGGATTCCTTTCCACGTGGATGGTGGGAGCCCTAACCTACAATGATGTGAGTTAAACAAGCGATATAATGATTTAAATAAATTAATCAAATATTTTATTTCATTTTTAGGAATCCTTCCATTCGTGGCAAATTGTGTTCTGGATTCTGGCAGCCACCTATATCTCGGGACCCATTGTTTTCGCCATCTTTGGCACCGGTGAACTGCAGCCCTGGAATAATCCTCCAGAGCGCGTTAAGATCAGCGATGTCACCCAGGAGGAGGGTGTTCCCCTAAAGAACGAGAAGTGAATTCGCTTTGCCAGTGAGCCTCAGTCGGTGCTTCTGCTGGTCCAGATGAAGGGATCGGAATGAAAGCCAAGTTGGAGATCGCCAGACATCATCATCCGCACAAGTTATAGTAGTTGCTACTGCACGTTAAAGATTACGGGGCTTTCATCACCAGAATCCCCTGATCACTGGACTTTGGGCAGATGCACCGGACACTCAACACGGAGAAAAACATGAAATGAAAGACATTATTTTTATACACACACCTAGATACTGCAAGGTTTCTTAGCACAAAAGAACATACACAAACATCTCATACCCATAAAAAAAAAGGAAAACCCAAAAAACACTGTACACCGATGCACCCGTCTGCTAAATGGAAATTGACTATATTTATAAGTAATATTTACTTTTAGATCTAAGCGTACGCCTATAATCGTACGCCCATGTGTAGCCTATGATGATTTATAGTATTCTGTATGTCCACAGAGCGCACAGACGGCTGTTCGAAGGAGCCTATCCTATAAGGTCGATCGACTGTCGACCAGCCGCTGTGCCCCATATGTTTCGTTTAATTTATAATGTAGCCCTAACTATTGTCTAGCTTAGATGAACAAAATACTTATGCAAGTAGTGAAATACATACGGAGAAGCCGATAGTGTAGCTAAGTCGATTAAAGCCCGTAACTTTGTACTATACTTGATTATTTATGTAATTAATTTAAACATTTTCTAAGTTCATAATAAAGCGTAACTCGGAAAGAAAATATGGAAATGAGTTTGGTTTCTTTCGTGATCATATTAATCATATCAAAATTAAAAAAATTCAAAAGCAAGGAAAGTTTAACAAAATTAAAATAAAATATAGGTAATAATATTATTCGAATGACATATTATTATTTTTTACACCTATTTTTTAATCATGTTTTATTAAACAAGATTTTTTTTTACATGATTTTAATTTGATCTAGACAAGTATTTTAGGTTATTTCATGATCATATTTTTCATACCAAAAGTCATGGTTTCCTACAAAGAACAGAGAAAACCCAAACAAAAATTAAAATAAAATATAGGTAATAATATTTTGTTACACCTACATTTTAACCATGTTTTATTCAACATCATATTTTACATTTTAAAATGCTTACACATTTTTATTTTACATGATCTTAACTTGATCTTTAATTTTGTGTTGACTTTTCATTGCCTACCTTTAGGCTTTCCAATAAAACATTTCGCTAAAAACTTATAGTTAAGTTTAAGGTTTATTTACAAAAACATAGCTAAGCGATACTACACACAGATTTGCTAAGCACCCATATACACAGGTATACAGTGATCGATGATCATTGATTAGTAACTAGATAAGCGCACAACCTAAGTGTCTGTCTCCAGACTGACATTCATTAGCTCCCTGGTGATCTCACTTTGGTTCTTGAGAGGAGTGGGATTGCTCAGCGTATTTGTGTCCTGGCTGAGAGCAGGTGGTGGCAGCTTAAAGCCACTTGGAGCACCCAGATTGAGGGAACCCCCCTTGAAGGCAGGAGGAATCGCAGTGGTGGTGGTGGTGCTGCTGGAACTGGTGGCCATTTTGTAGAGCAACTGCAGCTGCTGCATGGCATTCGAGGGATCTTGCGGTTGCGGTGGAATCCGATGATTGGCAGCCGAACTTTCTTTCGCAGGCCTTTTGGCCTGGTCCTTTGATTTCTGCTTTTGAGGTTTCATTCCATTCGACCAGGCCTCCAGCCAGCTGGCCCCATTTCTCTCCGTGGAGGTCATTAATCTCTCGGCCTCCTCCTTCACCTGCTGGCGGTAGAGTTGGCGAGCCAGAGCCTTCTGATCGGTTTGGCTCACCTGGCGCTTGTTGAACGATTGATCATCCTGGCTGGGTTCGCCGATGGGTCGGGTCTCCTTCTGGGGACCCAGTTCCACCATCACCTGAAAGTCCGCATGCTCGCCCAGGCGAAAGCCGAAGCCCAAACGGGAATCAGTTCCTGTTTTAATTTATTTCGTTTAATAAATGGTTTGAGCTTGAAAAGAAAATTACAGAATAACTTACCCTTTTTAATCGGTGGTATATTGGAGTAAACTATGGATAATATGGACGGTAGTTCCCTTGGCACAATGAAAGCGGTGGCATTTTGTGCTGTAAGTATACAATATATTTTATTTGGCTTGGTGTGCCCAAAGATTTCATCTCTCTTCTGCCGGCCGATCCCCAGCACTTATGTAAATTTTAGGCCAGTTAATATCAGGGCGGATTATGTAAGTTTTTATGGTCTTGGGTTTTCGAATTTACAGATGACTAACAATGCGTATGAGATTAAAGGTTCTTACGGCTTTAAGGTTCGTTTCACTTTGAAGGTCGATTAAAAAGATAGAGTCAGTAAAAATTAAAAATCATATTGAAAATAGCCAAAATGGAATATTTAAATACAAACCTAAATTATCATGTTTTTAGTAAGATATGAATAATAAAATATTAAAATTTCATGAATAACTATTAATTTTGTATTATAAAATAAGAATTTAGTATTGTCATAAAAAATATATGTATCATAAATTTTTAAAAACTATCCAATTAAAATTCAGGGTCATTCTCGACACTCGAACTTAGTTTTATGATCTAATAACAAAGCATTTAAAAAAAGATCAATGACTTTAACTGCGTGTACTTTGATTCCCAAGCGATTAATTCAAGAACCATTAGGTAATTCCAAGCCCCAGAGCCATAAAACTAAAACCGAAAAACGAATCACATTGCGAGACAGACAATGGACCCATAGACGATCCGCAGGCCAAACAACATCTGCGGCAATCCGGCGACCTTGACACAAAGACCGGCAACAAGTTGGAGCTCTCGTCGCAGAGCTCAGGGTGCTTAGCTTGGCCAAAGTTTGAGTTTTCAGTTTAGAGACCCACTCGAGATCGAGCGACTGTCGCCGGGATCGTTTAGAGTCGTTGGACCGGTTGTAAGGCAACCGATCTCGATATAAATCGACCGATTTCGGAGGCATTAACTTACTGTAGAGCAGGCCGATCAGCAAAGGCAGCCAGAGGCTAGCGTAGCCCCATTGTTTTGGCCAAGACATGGCCAGTCGTCAGCATTTATGTGGAGCCGCAGAAACTGCAATTACACAGGCGATTACTTCATGCCACACAACAGATATGATTGCAACTTTTTGCAGAATTTTTATTCAGCTTATTCGTTTATGTTTAAACCACTTTAAGGCGTTTGCGCAACAGCACTCAGAAAACCCGATTGCGACTTGAGGTTGGTCAGTTGCCCGAAAGCAGGTGCGTCATTTGGATAAATATTTGAAATATTTTGTTGCCAAGTTTTCGTTGGCCGCTTTTGTTTACGCGATTTCGATTCCGGCGCGATATGCAAACACACACACACACAGAAATGTTTTGGGTCTGGCTTAAATAAAAGCGTAAATACGAAAAAATCCACAGCAGCAACAAAAACACAGCGGTTTGGAAATCACTCTCACTTTTGTTCAATGAGCTTCGTATTGTTGCTGTTTTTTATTTTTGTTTTTTCGTTGGTTAAAGGTAACTACGTAGCTCGCCTTGTCTTCATTTGGTTTGGGTTTTTTTTTCGGTGTCTCTTATTTATATTTGTTTTTCCTTTACAGTTTGGCCTTGTCTCATTTTGGCTTTGATTGATTTCTGGCTTCTTTCGGCTTTTTTTTACTGCTGTAAAATTCATTTACACGCTAACTTCCCAAATTGATGTTAATAAACTGGGCAAACATCGCGCAGAAATTTCGGATCGCATAAAAATGAAAGTTTGTTGACTCAAAAAGTGTGTGTTGCTATTTTCGGTAGTGTAATTTCGGTTTCTGAGCAAAAATCAAACCAACACAGCGCACATACGAATGGCATAATTAAACTAACGTATTTCGGTTCGATTCAAAGCGATCCGATTCGAATAATTCCCCAGCGAGCGCCCACCGTTTTTCAATTGACAACTTGTCCGATGCGCGTCTGCAAGGCAACTGAGCTGAAATCGAGAGTGTTTAAGGCCGTGCAACACGCGCTAAATTCCAGTCGCAGTCTCGCTCTCCGCGGAAAGCTGGGAGTTGCACTGGAAGAAATAACTCTAAAATTAAGTTAAGTTTTAAAATTTATTCTGTGGGTTTGAAAAAATTTCTTACCTTACATGCATCTTGAAAAATAAAAAATATTATTTATTGAATTACAATTTTGATGCATTTTCAAAATAATTTTAGGCGATTTGCATGGAAAATATGTAAGTGTACCTCTATTCAGAAGCCATACAAGTTCTTTGATTTTAATATAAAGTTTTTTACCCAATTTATAAACAATTTCTAACATTTTACATTTTTTTCTAATTTTATCATAAATTGCAAATTGAAGTACAATTGTTTAGTTAAGAAAAGGTTTGTCAAGAATGTCGTATACAAGTTAAATTTAAAACAAAGATTACAATTTTTCAACCGTTTTTTTTTCTTTGTACTGTAAATCACGTAACTTTGCTCGGTAGCTGCGTACTCTCTTGCCATTGAGCCGCGCTTGAAGCATAAACTGAGTCTGAGACTGCGGCTGAAACTGAAACTGAGACCGGCTGTTGGCATCTGCTCCATTAACGTCATCTCCAACTCAAATTGGCGCACTTAGCTTGGACCCGGGTCTTGCCTTCTGGGGTCTGGCTTTTTGTAATTTCTTTACCTTTTTTTTTGGCACATTTTTGCGGTATTGTGAAAGGTTGCTTCAGGGCAGCTGAGCCTGGTTTTGTTTTTATTTGCTTATCATTAAAACAAAAGATGAAAAGCCGATCTTACTTCAGATGGTAATGGTACATGGGCGGATTTCATTCAGTTTATTGACGCCTACTGTGGAGATTATGTTCAAGTGATCTGCACTCGAACGCTTTAAAAGAGAGGCCATGAATAATAAAAAATCTATTATTATCCAAAAATGATGATTGAGGAACTGAACAATACTCTTACCCATTTGTAATTGTAATATATTTTATAATGGATTTTTATTTCGATTTTAACTGTTTTCTTTTAGACTTAAATGTAACTGTTTACCAACTTGTCGGGTTCATTGCACCCCGTAATTACCATAAACCTTACATATGGTGCCCAGTGAACCCTGACGATCGGTTGCCTATCCATAATATGAATTCCATATCTTATGCATGTTTTGCATAACGCAGGTCAGGTTGACATACACACGCCCCCTTTAACGACCAACAGTCTAATTAACTGAGACGCACGTTGTTACTTTATGTACGAACATTTTGTATAATTGCCCAGGCATAAAGTCCAGCACACAAGCAGTCATGCTAAAAAAATAAACATATTTATGTAATAGGCGTTGCCTGCCACACAATCGGCTGCACAGCCCAAAAAATAGATAATTTGAGATTGGTATGTGAAAATATATACTGAATATTTATAATTTAAAAATATTTACTGCATATTTTTTACTAATTTCAGGTCAGTAACTATACTAAATTCGTTTAAATTAATATATTTCATGTAAATTTGTAATGAAAATTCATATAAAATTCGAAAGGTTAAAATATTTTCTTGAAGTGCAGAAACCAACTTAGGCCCTGTCAAAAAATAAACAAGCTGAAGCGGTCAATGCATGAAGTGCAAATAGTTTGGGAAACTGCGTCTGCATAATTACCATCGCAATGAATTGTCTGGCCTCCTCGCTTCTCTTTCAATTGTTTGCTTTGCCATCGTAAGTCTGCGAAAATTCAAAAAAATCAACTAAGAAAAGTGGAAATAGTATTGACACATGAACAAAAAGTCTTAAAGTATTAGTTGAATGGCTCAAAAGCTTGGGATGCATTTTTATTACTAATTGAAAGTGTTTTCTATACTCAAAGACATTGGTTAAATTAATTAAAATAATTAGTAGTAAATAATTTGTAATTAGTATACTTTTTTAAAATTTATTTCAATTATTAACATGAATAGGATTTTAATACAACAAGTACTGCAAGCTTCTGGGCTGACTTAAAATATATTGCACATATTGTAGCTGTCTTTTAGGTGTTACAAAAAAATACAAATAAATTATAAATTCAATTTAAAGACTTGCCTTGATTTCCTAAAACACAGACTGAAATTTTATTACTTTTTTAATAACTCAGGCATAAAAAGACTGAAACAACCACTTTACAAAGGAAGACATAAAATATGTATGTGTCTTTTGTTAAAAGTGCTAAAATAAAAAAATGTCAAACACCGAAAATAATGTAAACAAGATAATAAAATATTCGATCCCAATATAAAACACATTTCAAAATATATTTGTTTCGTTTTTATTTAATTCGTATTCATACATTTAACATTTAACAATTGTTTCACAGTTCAGCGACATTATTAATAGTAAATAATTAATTTATATTTATTTTATTTCTCTTAATTGTTGTTGTTTGTTTTGTTATTTATACTACACACTACACTAACAACGATGTGTAAAAATAAATGTATTTTTATGTAATATTCTTCGTTTCTGTGTTTCTGATTGGTTTCCTTGCGAACCAAACACTTATGGCTAGTGCATAAGATGTGTGGTATCCTCTCTAGCTTGGTGCTGTTTAGATGGGTCTGGGGTTCGAAAACCGGAGGAGTGTGTGTGGCATCTGGAACAGTTTCTGTCCGTTAGGTAACGAGGTAAAGTGCGCCTTGTTGCGAATCGACACAGTCAACTCCTAGATGGGGGCCCTTCATCAATGCCACGCGAACAGCGAGTGCGAAACGAGCAAGTAGCCCGTGGTGACTATAATGCTGCCGATCATGATGGGAAAGCCCACTCTGTTGGTAATAGGAAATGATTACTAATCAATTAGTTAACATAATTAACAACAAACCCACTTGAAGAACTGCAGGAAGGTGAACTTGTAGCCATGCTGCTCAGCCACTCCTGCACAAACCACATTGGCCGAGGCTCCGATCAGAGTTCCATTGCCTGGAAAAGGAAAAACCATATATTATCTGGATTATAAGATAAGAAACCATCACCACTCACCTCCCAAACATGCTCCCAAAGCCAAAGCCCAAACCAAAGGCTGCAGCGGCAGATTTAAAGTGCTATTCTGCGCCAGCGATATGGTAATCTTCACCATCATTGTGGTCAGCGGGATGTTGTCCACAAAAGCCGAAGCCACAGCAGAAACCTAAATTAAATTGGGATATATCATATAGTAAATTTAAATTAAAATTCCTTTAAAAAGCTCACCCAAAGTATAATCAAAATGGCCACCATTAGTCGACGATCCTCGCCCACTCCCAGGATAATGCCCTCGGTCATGTTGCCGATCCACTCAATCAAACCCAATTCCGTCAGAGCCTCCATGAGGATGAAAAGGGCTGCGAAGAAGAGCAGCGTTGACCATTCCACGCGAGCCAATATAGCCTCCATATCCTCGATATCCGCCAGTATGATCAGGAATATGGCGCCCAACAGAGCGGTCCAGCCCAAGGATAATCTCTGCAGTTCCGGAACCGAGTGCAAAAAGAACAAGCTGATCACAAAGAGCAGGGCAGCCGAGCACTTGATCAGCAGGGGCTTGTTGCGAATGGGGTACTGAAAAAAATATATATAAATTAATTATATAAAATATAAATAAAGTCCGAAAGAAATCCCCTACCTTTGCTTGAAGATTGGCCAGAGTTTGCTGGTAATTGGGTGCCGGTTCTATGACCGCCGTCATGCGCTTCTTCAGGCTTCTCTTCAAGCGATTCACCTTCTTCATCAGCGTTTGTCGCACCAGTTCCTCGTCCTTTGAATAGGCCGACAGACTGGCAGCCGCTCGCTTCCACACGTGGATCTCGTGACGCAGTTCCTCCACTTCCGGCGAGTCCTTGAACTGCAGATCACTAATGTTGCGGAACTTGTATCGCAATTGGATGTAGGTCTGCACCATCACCAGAAGAACTCCGGGCAACATGTGCAAAGTGAAGACAGCGAAATTGACGCCCTATAAAAATTACATATTAATTTCTAGAAATTATATTAAATATCTTATTGATCTTACATTCTTGGATATGTAGCTATTCGAGGCGATGATCACATTGGGCGGATCCCCCACCGGAGTCAATGCTCCACCAATGTTCGAGTAGATGACCATGCACATGAGTATGGGCACCGGATTGAGGCACATGACCTCGCAGAGTCGTATCGTCACCGGGGTCATCAGCAGCACGGTGGTCACATTGTCCAGGAAGGACGACAGGACAGCGGTGAACAGGCACAAACAATTGATAAGGGGCCAAACGTGTCCGTTGGTTATCTTGTAGGCATACACGGCCAGATAGTCAAAGACGCCGGTCTCCGAGAGAATGGCCACCAGGATCATCATGCCGAAGAGCAGCAGCAGTGTCTCCACATCGATCCAACCCATGATGGTGGCCATCGAGGGTCGCGAGTTCAGGGCAGCCAATATTCCCACCGAAAGCGTGGAGGCGATGATGGCGGCAAATGTTCGATTCACAATCTCCCAGATGATCATCACGTAAAGACCGCAGAGTACGACAGCTGCATAGATCACACCATCCCGCTTGTAAATGGGCGACTCGTCCACATTCAGCTGGAGCGGCAGCTCCCCCTCGATGCTGCTGGTGAACTCGAAGCTCAGCTCCGTGCGATTCGCCTGGGCCAACCACAAAGGATCAATGGGACTCAGCTCGAAGGTGCGCTGCTTCTTCGTGTCCCTGGTGGCATCGATTAGATCTGAGTAGACCACGTCCAGCTGCCACACCTGGCTGGCGTTCTCGATGTAAATCTCCATGCCGTCGCCATCGAAGTAGCTGCGCATCACCAGCACTTGGAGCAGGGGCAGTGGAACGCTCTCGTTTAGGGCCAGCTCGTTCTCCTGCAGCCGGAAAGGTCCTCGCAGACCCAGGCCGATCCTCTGCAGACTGGAGGTGGCAATGGGAAATACTGGGGGATACACAGAAAAAAAATTCAATATAGGATCAATTGTACCTTATTTCATATCAAAATGATTTTTATCTCATCATATAAAATACCAAATGTAGTATTTTTTTAAGCATTTATGTAAAATAGGATAAACATAATCTTTATTCATATGAATTTGATCTTTTGTCAATTTTTTTTCTGTGTAGGAAAACCCTTAGTTTATATGATATACTTATACTCCTAGTAAATCCTAACTACCTCTGGGTGAGCTAGATTCTATATGAAAAAGGATGAATTTCATATCAAAATGATATTTTATCTCATCATTTAAAATACCAAATGTAGTATTTTTTTAACCAATAATGTAAAATAAGATAAACATAATCTTTATTCATATCAAAATGATATGAAACGAAATCTTTAAAAAATATAAAATTGACCAGCATATATCAATCTGATCTTTTGTAAATTTTTTTTCTGTGTGGGAATACTTATACTCCTAGTTACCTCTTGGTGAGCTATTCCTAGGAACACTTATGAGGCTCAGCTGGTCCACATGCTCGTTGTTGGACATTAGGAAGGCGGTGAAGACGCACCAGACCACCAGCAGCACGGCAATCTTGAACCAGATGAGATACTTTCGGATCTGGAAATTAACAAAAATATTAAAATATATATTTATCGAAAGGTTTTCTTATATAACCCACCAAACTTTTGGCATGCGGTTCGGCCTCGTCATGTTGATCGTCATTGTTGTTCTCCAGGTCCCTGCGGGGAATCACATAAAACTGGTTGCACTAATTACGTAACTGACAATCGAGGGGCACAGAACTACGAACCTGCCGTCGAGCACCCGCACCTGACCCGCCTCGTTTGTCACATTAATCCCGATCTGTGTGAAGGCCTGGTTGGCCAGAGCGGTCTCCTCGTGGTGTCCATTCTCCACCCGAACCTCCGACTCCTCCGCCTGCAGGGGATCCACATCTGTGTGAATATAAAGATTTAATTAAAAATAGTTATCCAGCGATGACCTTTATGGCTGGTTTAGCTAACCCTGTCCCGGAACTGGCAAATATTTGTGCGAAATTCTACTCATTCGCTGCTCGCGGAAGGACAACCGACGGTTAACTGTGGCGAGTTTGGCCGGGAATTAACTTAACTTGGCCTTTGGCCACCACCACCTGCCACGTGTTGGCATTATTTTATTGGCACAGCCGCAAGGCAATCGAGTCGAGGCTATAAATACCCATAAATGGCCATGAGCGAGCTGGGGGACACATTGGCCCACTGACTGATGGCTGAAGAGACAAGGATGCGGAAAAGGACATTGGCAACTCGAAGGTTTCGGACAGCTAATTCAGCCCCAGGGATTGGGAACTACTATTATAGGAAGTCCTTTTCTTATGTGAATCTATCTATTTTTTTCTCAAATAAATATAATATATAAAGAAAATCATCTTCTCTTAACTCACAAATTATTTACATTGACCACCAGGAATTTAGAAGGAAATTCGCCATATAATTTCATAAAAAGCATACACATTATAATTTTGTGGATTATTTGAAAGCGCAATCTGCTCTCCCTGAACCCTCTAATTTAAGATAATACTTGCCCAGTGACATCATATGCCGGAAAAAGACTGGAACCCTGGTATTATCATAATTTCCTAAGCCCCAAATAGTGCGTCCATCAAGACAATTGAAGATAAGCCTGGACTTAAGTTTTTGGTATGCAAATCAGGCAAAAAAAACCAAAATACCCGGACAATTTCCAATGTCAATGGCAACGCCAACGCAAATGGCAATAAAAAATTCAGCAATAATTACGGCAATAAAAAAGGTAGCAACAGCCAGACATAAAAAAGCGAAATTATGTGATCCGGGGGCAGGATGTGGCCAAACTTACCGCCATGCAGACGTTCGTGCTCCTGGCGAAAGGACGCGAGACTGGGATCCTGACGAATTCGCTCCGGCAGAGTTCGCCAGACCTGTAAGGCACCTTCTGTTACTTCGCTGCATGTGTGGTGAGCCAGGAAAGTCGGGAGAACCAGGAGTTCCAGGATGAGGAGGCAGGATTTTTGTTACCCATCGGGGAGCCATGAAACGCAGCGCCGGAAAAGAGAGGAGAAATAAGCAGAGAATAAAGATTTAATAAGATTACCCGACTTGTGTTGGAATTTGTTTGTTCAGGTACTCGATGGCGGAGGGGGCGTGGCTCATTCGCCAGCCCTACGGAAAAAAAACATTCAATAAATTTTTTAGCACATCCATATTGATTTTTCTCCTCCCATTCGATTCTGTTTCCCTTTGCTCGTGCGTGCAACAATTTGTATTTATTTGATTTGACTCTTATAAAGACTTTAAATCGAAGTTGTTTACCCTAAAACGGGTTTCTCGAGGGTCCCAGCTTATGCCACATGAAGTGGAAATTCACTTGTGGTTAAGGAAGTGAATGAAAATCTCCTTAGCAAGGAATCTGATTGACAACAAATCTAAAAGGGCTTTTAGGGAAGTTGCAATAAAATGAGATTTCAGTAAATATATTTGAATATAAGTAGATGTGAAAATATGGAAAAAACTTAGTTATCAAGAAGCTGGTTTGTATTAAAAATGTATAAAAAATAATGTTCAAGTCTTTAAAACTTTGTGATTTTTTTAAAATATATATTAATGTTATAAAAAAAGTTATTGAGTGGTTTTAAGAGATTATACGTCTCAATACATGATTAATTTTTAAGTGGTTTAGTTCCTATTACTAATACTAAAAAATACCATTATGAGGCACCCGAAAGCAACGTTCCGCACGTCACGTAGTCCGAAAGATAACAAAAAATGATAGCAATTCATATTCTAATTTCCACGCAAACTGACCGAATTCAAAGTCAAGCTATCTTCAATACACATTTTTAGATTTTTCAAAGAATCGCACAAGAACGAGCTCAATTAAAGCGCAATGCCACACAATCCGATTCAGAATCAGAACCGCTTTAAGGTCGTTATCAGAGGGAAACTCATCGGACCAAAGAAAGCTGTCTATTTATACTGGCCATAAAATATTGTTTTCAGTTTCAGTACCATTTACATTTCCATTTGAAATGCGAGTTTAATGACTCTTTGCCATAATTACTGAATCCAAGCAGCTGAGGTCAATTCGAAGGAGGTTCCTCGGTGGAAACAACATTGAGAGTGCATTGGGAATCGCATCACGTGTGCGGGCTAAATAAATGCAATTTGTGCACTTGACTCAAGTGGGCACACAAATCTTAATTCAGTCGGCTTGACTAAATTTACTTAAGCCTGCGTTAGAACGATGAAAAGTGCTCGAAATAAGTCATAAATTATATTTACTTAAGTTTCAATTAGCTGTCTTGATGGACGGACGGCGATGTAGTCATGTCATAAACAGAAACAGAAACAGAAACGGCAACAAAATCAGAATCAGAAACTTAAACAGAAACAAAGACAAGACCGCCAAAGTAATGCTGACACTGATTTTCTTCACCGAACACACACCGTTGATGACTTTATATAGCAGATATATAGAGAAGCCGACATTTTAGCTTGAACTTGCCTCAATTGCGATACTCAGTTTAGATAGCTCTAGATTTTGTAGCTCTTTCATTAGTCATAAGATCTGAGATTGCCTCATGTGATGAGGTGAAATTAACGCAAGTTAGGATGGGAGTGTTTTCCAAAATAAACGAGTTTTTATGAATTTTAATTGAATATTTTTCCTGACCAGTTGTTGTCGGGAAAATTAAATGTTTAAGTAGGTAAAATACAATACCATGTCATTAAAGCACAGCTTTTTCTCTAATAAAATAACAACATTTAAAATGTGGATTTTTAAATTCATCCAATCCTAAAGTAATGTATGTGGAAATTTTCTCAGAAAATGAAAAGAATTTTAACCCAGCTCAAAGAGCAAAGCCTCAAGCAGTCCGCCGTCTCCTCAACGCAATGATTAAATGATTTTGTTGATGGCTCTTAATACTTTGAACAGCTACTTTATGTCACGGCTTTCATCAGCTGAAGTGAAGACAAGTGTCCGTGTCAAAGATTGATTCACCCATCAGCCCGAAGCGGAAAAGGAGACCCACAAACCCAGGCGTATCCTGTGTATAGGATAGACAAGCTATCATTAGCAGGAGCCAAACGAGTTTTACGCTCCAGTGGACTTCCCGACAATTTGTCGGTTTTTCTTTTGTATTATACACAGATAAAAAACGTATAATATATATTTTTAAATCACTTGTCAGGCGAAAGAGCCTTTAAATATCCGAAACAATAACTTTACATCGAATTAAGCCATTTCTATTTATTAAATAGATATCAAATTTCTTCTTTAATTCAATAAATTTCTTTATCTGTAGGAAAGGTAAACGCATTAAAACCGATGACAGGCTTCTTAGGGCTAGAACACAATTCATTTTGATCCCCCCTCGGGACACATACTCATCCTCGTATGCGTTATCCTCGGAGCTGTTGTTGTAATTGTAAGCCATCCTTAGTCCTGGGGCTTCGGGAAATGCGACACTCGACAAGTATATCCGCGAAAAAAGCGTTTTATTACGTAAATTGCAATAGGCAGACACTCGCGAAGCGCTTTAATAGAAAAGCCGGGGAAAATGTAAAATTTCCTGCGTTAATCGCATATTTTTGCGCCGCTGGGATAATGGGCGAAATCGAGGGAGAGAGCCGATCTTTAATTAAATAGCGGGATCGCGTTGCCTTGACCACTTGTTGCAGCTCGAGTGACGCTTGAACTGCGCTCTTTATTGTCGCGTGCCCTTTTCGGTGCTTTATTTATTGCCGCCGATCGTGACTGGGATCGGGCGTATATATGCGGTCGAAAGCTGAAGCGGTACTAACTGTCGTCCCCAGTTTTTTACCCTATTTTGTAGGTTTTAATGCAGCCCAAGTCGCAATCGCAGTGGCGTCGCTGCCGCAGTCGCAGCGGCGAAGCAGCGCGGCAAAGAAGAAGGTAAACAAGAGCTCAAATAAAATAAAATTTCCTGATATTCACATTCGCTTTCCATCATCATCATCAGTTATCTCTCGCTGGCCGCGCTTTGCTCATTATTCGCATTTATGCTTTCTCCGCCGCCACTGCAAGTGCACTCAAAATCCAACAACTAACTCGACCGATCCATCGTTCTCACACTCGAAAAAATTAACCCTTCAATTAATAAATCTCACATAGTTTAAGTTCATAAAGTCGAAAAAAAATGTTGGTTTTCACAAAATGCTTTTGAGGAACCGAAAAAAAATTTTTAGTATAAGTATAATGTATAAAGTATAAAATGATAAAAAAAAATGTTAAAAAAAGTAGTTTTTTAAAAAAAGTTTAATAGATAACCGAAAATAATGGTTATAAGATTAAGGATTGAAGGTGCATCATATTAACAATTGATGTTAATTGCTTAGTGTGTATAACGTTTAACCTTAATCAAAGGTCCCGAGTTCAATTACAACCGGCGAAAATAATTTCGAAGTTAACTTTACCAAAAAAAGCAAAATGATAAAAATATAATGTATCCTTAAAATTAAGAATCAACTATTTTTAGATTTTTTGGAATCATTTTGTTTAGTGCATTTGTTGTGTGCAGCGTAGCCTGAGCATAGGCTCTTTCTCCCCCTGCCACCCACTGCGGGGGTTCTTCATTTTCGGCTTCGCTGAGAACCCTCTCTATCGCTCAGTGTTTACTTTTCCGCTCTCTTCCGTCATTGTTGTTATTGCTGCTGGCGTTGGCTTATTTGCACTTCTTTCAATTACACTTGATTTATCACATTTGACAGTTGTTCTGCGATGCTTTTGATCTTGCTCTGCGCTACGCATAGTTTAATCGGGAGTTAAGAATTGTAGAACACTAATAAAATAACAAAAACAAAGAATTGGCTTCAAATAACGAAAAAAAAACGTTATTGTTAAGAGTCTTAACTTAAGACTTTTATTAACATTTATAATAATCTAATAATCACTAAATGTATTTTAGAAAGCCAAAAAAAAATCAAACTAATCTTCGGGAAACTAAAAATTGGTCTTACCATTGAAAAACATTTTAAAATAACCAAGAAATTGACAGTTAATAAAAATGATTTTAATTAAAATATCATCAAAGTTAAGTCACCATCTTTATAATTCTTGTTTTACATTTTACTTATTACATTTAACAAATAAGGCATTCAAATCAAAAAAAAAAGTACTTTAATCTAACTTGATATAGTTCCAATTATAAAGTCTATTTTAAGCCGCAACCCGATACAATTTTCATCAATTTGTTCCGCTTGTTTTAAATGATTTTATGGCACAGATGAGCTATGAACTCGCGTCGTTTGCACTTTATACTGTATAGTATAGTATGGGCTTATTCTGCAATTTGGCGAGGAATCAGCTGCTCGAGGTTCAATTATTGTGTTAAGGAGCTGTGCTGCGAATTATGAAATACTCGTAGACCGCCTAAATTGAAGGCATATTCAGCGAGTGCTTCGCGAGGCCTTGGAGTTCAAGGGTGCCTTCAATTCGCATGTAAATTTTGTGGGCGAATGTTGAGAAATTGAGCCAAATCCGAACGCCCCCACGTGATGCAAAATTCAAGGCGTATTCATTCTACAATATATCCGAGTAATTGAAAGGCACCCGAGGGAGATGTGGCGCCTGTCAAAACTTTTGGCAGACGCATATCACACGAAACGAAGAGATTCTGTCGAATAAGCAGAAAATATTTTAAGCTTTAGGTACTTTTTGGCCAACTCAACGGAAATCCACTTGCTGCTGACTCACTGACGTCACAGGTGTGCTTGGCTTGCCAAGTTTGCATAATGCGACAGGTAATGTAATACTTTTCCCCCTATAGATTAGAAAATCAAGCCAGCCCAGGGCCACAATTGCAATCTGACACCGCCAGCCACCTAATGATAGCCATTTCGCAGCCCGGGCTAATGAAAAAGGTCTCCAAGCATGAAGAACAGAGTGCTTTTGCCACTACAGATATATCGCCCGTGTTGACCGAGCTGCCACAAGTGTTTGCCGTGGCCGAGTGAAATGCAATTTAATTGAAACGAGAGTGCCAACTCGGGGGTTTCAGGTTAACACAGCCCCGTGGCATTGAAATCGAATCGAAATGGAAGCATAAATCGAAGAAACTGAAGCGTTTAGCGTAATGTGCGCACTTCCAGCGGCAAGTGGCTAATAGCCGATGGGGCACGCCCCGTCTGGGCCCGATTGTATTATTTTTTCCACAGAGTGCTATTTAATACCTCAATTGATAGGAGGCAGGGCAACCTATACACTAATATTACATCTTTTATTTTAGTTGGTAAATAATAGAGACGAGCTAAGTATTAACTAATTTCAAGGGATAAGATATTATTTGTATTGGAGTTAGGGATTTAAATGGCTCAGGTTTTTTTACACTATACTACGTTAGTTACAGTTTTCATTGCAGTGCACTTGGTTAATTGCTGTTAATTTCAAGTTGAATAAGCCCATTGTTTGCATGTAAATGACAAGATAATTACTTCTAAGTAATTTGTTCATGCACTCGTCAATTCATTTCAATTATGATTAGCCAATACAGACAAAATCTGACAGCTATAAACTGGAAGAATGTAGCAAAAACCGAGTTAAACATCTATTTAGATTAATTTTTGTCCAACAAATTGAATTAGGATTTTCGGTTGTTAAAAATAAATTTTTCTAAAAATATCTCGTCAATTTAGAGACATTTTGGAAGAATATTAAAGTTCAGGCGGAGCAATTGAGAGAGCACGCACTTTTTCCGTTTGATAAATTAAATGAACACGCGCTTATCAAACGGCTTTCCTCTTATGTTGGGATATATATTAAATCAACTCAAACTTGCTTAAGTAAGCTGCACTCACACAGACACAAGCACTCACGCACACTTATGCAGAGACGGGAATGTGTATATATAGGTCATTGTGCGACTATGTTGATAACGAAATTACAGACCCGAAAAAACGTAATTTTATCCAGTCGGTCATTCGGTCGGTCTCCTTACTCCTCCCCATTTGAACTTTCTTCTTCATATTATATATGCACAGGCACAAATTATTATTAATTTTAAATATATAAAATAATGGTATAGTTTAGAGTATGAAAAAAACATTTATGGATGACCAAATAATTGTTTTAAGAAGGACTTTATTTTAAAAATCAAATTTTTAGATTTTCTAATATTTTTTTTTACAATTACAATGATTTTTATTTAGTAAGCTTTTCTCTCAGTGCAATCTCTTCCCGTTCCCGTTTCGCCAGTGGGCATGTCATTCATGTGGCGCTTTCAATGCGACACGCTTCATTAATTTCGAGAAATTGAAAGCCTGAAACCGCTCTGCACTCGGCGTTTTTCGTTTGGCGATTGGCGTTTGGCGAGTCGCATGTGAGCGACTTTAAGTCTTATTTTTAAATCAAGAAGAGGAGGGTGTTGGGGCCCCGATTAGCAAGTTAAATCTTTCGCCGACCGTGCGAGTATTTTTCCATTGCGAAAAATGTGAGTTAATTAATTGAAAAGGCGTCAGTTGGCGACGTGGCTTGGTGGCCCTTGGAGGAGTTCAGCTGCTCGGCAGAGTGGCAAATGGCACACGTTCCTAATGGGCTCATAGTCACACGTTTCGTCGACGCCTCCATAAATCGAACTGTGACTGAGAATGGCCATTTCGCCAAGGGCAGGGCTAAGTAGTGGGTGGTTGGGGGTGGGTTTCCATTCCCACACAAAGCAAAGGTTCAGCTTGCAGCCGAGTGTCGTATGCAAATTGCTGGCATAGCTGGAGTTCTAGCTTGTATTCATTTGCATTTTTAATTTCCACATACTAAAGGCTTACTCTGCGATAATTGAGTAAATCAAACTGCAGTTATAGAATATTTTATTCAGCTTATTAGTATTCAGACTACGAGATGTTTTGTACATTAATCTTTTCTTGGGAAGTGGTTATTTATAGGTATTGTATAATGTTGTTAGGTCATGACTGATTGATATCTTTTAGTTTATACTTTACGATGCTTAAGGAGAGGCTTTATTTTTTTAATTTCGTAATTTATGTAAATTTAAATTAAGTATTTTTATGTGTTATGGTTTAGAGATTCTTTATTTGTACTTCTTGCGACCTTTTCTCTGCCTTTCATGGCAAATGTCAACTGCAGTGCCTTAACCCAATTTTGGCATTAAATGTTTTAATTATTCATGTGCCATTTTTATGGCTCTTGCTGTCGTCGGATCTCAGAAACACACATCCTGGCCGGGCTCATAATCACATTTTGAATGAGCTTAGAACAATGCAGAATCGAGGGGGACTGAGACGGGGGCCAGAATTTGACCTTGGCTGCGCGGACGAGGTCGTCGTCGTCGCAGTTCGCGTTATGTGAAAGAATTTTTACTTTTGGCTGACCCACATTTAAGGCGGGGTGGCGGTGTTAATGGCTTACTTAAAAACGCCGACCAAAACACAGGGCGGATGAGCGATTGGCGGGTGCTGAAGTTAAGCATACGCAGTGTTGTCTTCTCCCAAAACAAATAAAAACAAGGCAAACAAATTGAAAATTAATTGCAGAATAATTTAGCAGCCAAATGAAGTCAGTTTTCGGTTTGTTTATCGACTTTGTTTATTTTCCCGGCGGTCATTTGGCCAAACAAATTAATTAGTATTTGTCTAAGGCCTTCTTTTTGTGTACCTCACTCCAAAAGAAAAGAATAGAAAAACGAAAGCACGTTTTCAGGACACTTTGAGGACCCAACAACACGCCTCACTGAACAGCTCGATTGATGGATGGATAGATGGATTTTTCTGAATGGCAATACCTGATTCTAAGAAGTATGCCCACGAATTTTCCTTTCCCAATTCAATGAAGTGCTCTCTATTGAAACATTAATGGCAACGGAAACCGAACTCCACACATTTGTCCCTTGTTTTTTGGGCAAACGGAAATTAAATGTCTGACATTAATTTCTTTCTTGTTTTTCTCGTTTCGGGTCGACACATGTTGCTGCCATTCAAGGGAAAATTAGACTCGTACACGATTACATGTTTATGTTTATGTTGTGGTCGAGACGGGCACCGGAACTGCCTCCTATCCGGCCCATTCTTCGCCGGAGTTCCAGGCACGTGCCCTTCGGCCGAGACATAAGAAACCCATATAAACATATAAATATACGAGTATGGGAATTTTGCATTAGCAGATGTAAGGCAAAGCAGGTTTCGCCTCATGAACTTTGGCATCTTTCTGCGGGAATCGCCATCTTGTAATGGGAAAGGTTCAAAGGATAGGTTTAACGGAGACAAAGTTGGAATGAAGCTAAGACCAGCTCATATCCATTGCAAAAGTATATACTTTAATAGAATTTAAGCAGGGAGGAATTTAAGTTAAATGAACATGTAATAATAATAATTTAACGCTCATTTTGATTTTATAGTTAAAATAAGCTTTTAAATGTTTCCATTAATTGACTGAATGATTGATTCAATTAGCTCCCATCATAAGCTGCTTAACTGTTCTGTCGTCTCTTAATAATCCTTATGATGTTCATTATTTTAGCTTTTGACTTTGGTAGTAATTTATTGCATTTGACAGTATTAAAGCCATTTCGAATATTACTGCCTTTATTTTCTACGAAATATAATTAATTACCATTGCTCTTTTGATGAGCTTAAAAATAATGCACACTGACTTTATAATAATTCGCATATTTGCCACGTTTAAAACCTAATAAATAATAAAAAAGCTGAAGCTGAAATTTTAATAATTTATGCATATGGTTAAGAAAACACTTAGTTGAATTTTTCTTAAATTTGTAGTTGATGAATAGAGTCACTTGCACTTACTTTGGCTGTGGAAACCTGTCGCTCTTGGTGGACGCCTGTCGGTGGGGCCACAGGCGCTTGGTCACCTTCACCCGCATCTTGAATGGCCAGATGTTCTTGCGCTTCTTGTGGATGCTGGGCACCCTGCCACGCCCACTGTCCCGCCCACTGCCACTCCCACTGTGGCGCCGCGATACCGTGGAAGATCCGGCTGTGTGACCCACTGTGCCGGAGTCCGTCGTCTTGCTGCTGTTGTTGTTGTCGGTGAGGTTGTTGTTGTCGGTGGTGCTGGGAGGCAGTGGGTGGTGGTGGGGGGTGGCAGTGGGCGGTGGGCTGGGCGCAGCGTGAACCCGTACGGGCGCAATTTTGACCGAATCGAGGAGCGTGTTAAATTAATTAAGCCGCTGACGTCTAGACGCGATTCTGACTTAAACTTTTGGGTTCCGATTGGCTTGAACCCGGTATCTATTAATACTAATTATTATCGCAAATCACAAAAATTTATTTTTGGCTTTTAGGCCTTTCTCTTGTACATCTTGATGTTGTAAAGGGTTTTGTGCCTCCGCTTCATATAAACGAATCACGCATACGCAGCACTGGCTTTTGGGTGGTAAATAAATTGATAAATAAAAATAACAGCTGGTTTCCCCGAAAACCGAAACAAAAAAAGTTCATGGTTGCGTCACGCAGGGCAGGGATTAATTATTCAGGGTCCAGAGTGACGAGAATAGTCGCCTGATGGACAGGCCTCGAACCCGGCCTAATTGGGAATCAATATTCGTTTAGTTTTCTCATGGCCTCATTTTATCTATCAGCCGAATCAGTTGGCACATCAAAAACCCAATCGAAAGGGATGATCACGTACGTCATCGTCTGCGGTTCAGGGAGCACGTTTCATCGGTTGATTTCCGATGTGTTTACAATGTTTGCACTCTATATCTGCGCATTAAGTTCTATTTAATTATGGTGTTTGCTGCTAATTAGTCGGCGTAAGCTTGCAAACATTAAACAATTTAGAAGGGCGCATAATTAAAAACCCTTTCAAATTATGGGCGGCCATCTGGGGAATTTAGAAATACGGGTCAAATGCAAAACACACACGTGGCAAGGACTCACGTTTAACCCAAAAAAACATATAAAATGGCACCGAAAATATCCTGTGCGTGAAGCGGAAATTGCTTTCAAAGATATGTCATCGTTGGGGGCGGGATATTTATATATATTTTGGCACATAAATGTGTCAACAAGGTGGATAAGCCATCTATGTCTATGTTGGGGATGGAGAATAAATATATATTCTGCAAAATTCGGGTCAGAACCTCTGAAAGCATTTTGTTGGTTTGGAAAGTATGAGTTTTACTGAACTTATGTATAGGAGCATTTGTCTAATTACTAATTGATTTTAATGAAGTATAATTATACTCTCAGAACTCGAAAGTAATTCCACCAGAGGGTTTATTTCACAGACTTTTTAATGTCTTAATGTTTTGCCAGTAAAACTTTTCGCATCCTGTCTGAATCCTTTGCAAATTAACGCCACAAAAGTTTGAGACCTTCAGAAGCCTCTAGCAATCACTTAAAATGTATTTGAGTTTTCCTTAAAAGCCCTTTTCGTTGGCTCCAGCTCATAAATGTTGTTTTAGCCTTGGGGGCAGGGGAAAAGTGACGGATGGGCTAAGTTTTGTTTGGGACACTCATATCTAGACTGGCATGAATATCTAAAATGAGTGTCAAGAAAAGTTTGCAAATCTTTAAAAACTAACATGAAAGCCAGACACGTATGGTTTTCCCTTTTTGTGTTGCCTACTTTTTGGGGGCGCTTTTCGGAATTACTTTCTGCTTCCGTTTCCGTTTCCATATCGGTTTTCATTTTCATTTCGACCACTCGATGATGTTATGCTGATGAATCAATTTGCCCAGCTGAATATATTACTTATTTGCGTGGCCTGTCAGTGGTCAATTATTGATTGGGTTGGGCTAAAAGGTGCGACTCGGGGTCGGTCATCCATAAATTATGAAATATTTGCCAGCCACTGATAGCCCCATTTCTCCTGAAGGACCTCCTCACATGCCATCGAATGTTGAATGTTTGAATGTTTAATCACGATTTGGTAAATACCAGTTGGGAAATTTCCCACATAGAAAATGTGCCTGAATCCTGGGGAATCCTTCAGTTAATCTATATATACGAAGGAATTGCAGTCACCAGACGCTAACCAATTATTCAGAAAGTCAGAAGCAGAAGCAGACTAATTACCTACAAAGAAATTGCTCTTTTTCGGGCCCCGCCTAATGAGCAAAATTATCTTGAGGTAATAAGAAACTGGAAATAGGATAGGGCCGAATGCCCGTGGAACAAAGGAAAAATTTCCATAATTAAATGTGCTTTTATCTATTCTACATCTCCACCTGCTGCAGCCACAACCCTGAACTTTTTAAGGAAAATTCTCTTTATTTCTTGGAAAGAAATTCTAATTTAATTGTAAGCTCACTTTGGGTTTTGTAAATGTTTCGGTTTTTTTTATATGCCCGTTATTTGTGCATTCAGTTATTTTGTTATTACTATTTATTTGTATCTCTATTGTTTGCCACTCGAACGCGATTGCCGGACAAAGTCGCACGTCCGTTTCAAGCGAAAGTTGTAAACTGAATAAATCTGCGGGCTCGGTGCCGCGTTCCTAGTTATTTCAGCCGGTTACTGCCGATTCCGATTCCGATGCCGCTACCGATGCCGATGCCGCTGCCGATGCCTCTGCCGATGCTATATAGCCACTGATACCGATACTGAATGTTGCTGCTTCGTGCGTCGCCATTGTCGCAGCTGTTTTCAGTTGAATGGCGCATTGAAAGCGCCCCCGGCAATTGAATGGAAAGCGAAGCTTTCAATAGCTGTTGAATGCCACTGTTTTTGGGGGCTTTGTTGGAACTGGAATTGGTCGTATTCCAGTGGCCAACAACTTGAACTTGAGGCCTTTAGGCCGGTTGGATTTAAAGGCGGCTAAAAAAGTGTTTATTTGTATATTTATTTGGGAACAAGGTCAGTTTTTTCAGGGGTGTCAATGATGGGTATTATTTTAATTATTATGTAACTATTAAAACAACTGTTGTAAGGGTTCAACTTAATGTACATCCCTTAGGATTATATTTGTAATGCAGGCCAACTCCCAAGTGTGACTAATGGCTGTAATTATTTTTTAATGTTAGCTATTATATGATGCCTTTAATGGCAATGCTCATTTAAATAGAACACGAACTTGTCTGAAATAAAAAAATATTTATAAACTGATAAATTTGCTGTGATTCATTCCCCCTTCCTAATCAATTGTTTACTCCAACTTAAGCGTGCTAATTGAAACATCAGAATATAATAGAGCTAATCAGCAGATTTATTCTTGCTTAGCCTTTAGAAATCACCGCACAAGCAACAAGTCGAGTAATTAGTGCAAATTTAAAACACTTGTCATAAAACCTAAAAATAGTCATGCAAATGGCAATAGAGTAAGTCGAGAATCTCGACGAAAGCTCTCGAGACTTCCTCAAAACGAAAGTGAAATCTGCAAAATAAGAAAAATACAAGCTTTATCAAATTTAAGGCCGACTGCTTGTTTATTTATAGGCCAAAGATGATAAATCCCAGCGAAGCTTCCAATTCCGACAATATAGACGACCACGCGCGGTCCGATTTGCATGTGTGTGTGTGCCACATTTGTGTATTTTTTTAGTACGGGCAGACAAAAGGCGAATTTATCAAACGGGGGTCATGCAAACAGCTTCTGATGTGGATGAGCCCCATCTCAATTCCCTCGATTTCGGTTCGCAATCCCAGAATCCGAAACACAAAACCCAAAAACCATGCCACTGACAATGAAACGGCAAACAAAAACACACTCCAAGGAGCACAAAGTGAACTCGTGTATATTAGTTCTCGTCACGAGCTGTTTGACATTTGAGCGGCTTTAAAGCTTAATATTTACGCTCTTTTATTTTGCAATTTCCATTTTCATCCTCACCCACATTCAATAGAACGGTGATAATAATAATAATAATGCTGATGAACGGCTATATTCAGAGTGAGACGCAATAGGTGTGTGCCTTCAGAGCTCTGTGTTTTTTCCAATAAAAATTGTGTCTTGACTCAAGGTCTCTACGGTTAAGCCATCTGAATAATAAGGGGTTTGGGTGCAGCCAATGAGAAATTATATGGGTTAAGTACTATCACATTTTTAGGGAGATATCATAATTAATATCAATGTTTTATCAACAATTCCTTGAGGTGTATATTGCTTAATATTGAATTCTTTATAAAGTAAGTAATTCTTTACTGAAGGCAAAATAATTTAAACAACTAATCTATTATTAAGTAAATTCTATATTATAATAACAGCTTATACATAATTCATTTCCACTCAATTGTGCCTCAAAGGTTGGCCCCCAAAGCCATGTACATAGAAGCACACACACCATATACATATGTGGATTCCGGAACCTTTACAGCCCCTAAGCCCATCCCTTGGCAACAGAAAAGTATTTACAGTTTGACAGAAAATTGTGCGCGGAAAGCCCTCATGTACTGGGATAGCTATTGGCACCTTCTCTCACCACCGGAACTATGACAAGTTTCCGCAAACTACACACATGTGGTTCGCCGCAGACCGACTTTCACACAGTTCATGTCATCATGGCACCACCAAACTTGGGTTTGATGTTCCTGCCGGGATCACGTGGTTCAATATGGCAGACAGTCTGTAGAACCACTTTTCCAAATACGAGTCTGAAAGTCAAAGTTAATGGCCAGCCACATCAAAGTGTTCAGCTGTCAATGCTAAGGACGATAAGCGGCCTTCAACTTTTCACCCATAACCCTCTCTGGATATACAGACATTTAATAGCTATTTGCCGAAGGCTCAAATCGATGTATGGTACGTAATTAAATTCCGTCAGCCCATGCAAAATTGTAAATTAATTACACCCTATATGCATAAATTAATTTATGGATTCCAGAATTAAACAAGACTGACTGGAGACAGCGTGAGTTAATAAAAAACAATTATGTAAATAACAAGTTCTTATATAATTAGGTTTGCTTCAGGTTTGTTTGTCAACAATATGTCATAAGGTTACAGGGTGAGAAAATAATTATATAGAAAATATTTAAAATTGTTAAATTCAGTTGCATGGGTATTTTTACTTAAAATATTAATCTTTAAATATTTTTCAGTGCTGATAAATAAATATTTTTTTTTTCCTTAGCTCTATAAAGTCTCCCCACACCCTGTAAATCCCTCTCTATTGCAACCGAGTATAACTGCGTTATAAACCAGCGAACTCAGTGGTTTACAATCTCAAGTTTTCCCTTTAATTGTTAATTAACAAGGCGGAACTTTTAATTGAAGACCAACTGTGGATGTAATTCAGATTACACTACGTTTCCACTCCACTGATAACGCTTAGCTATTTGTGTGGGAGTGTGTGCATTAATTTGAATACGACACTTGTTTATAGCGCCATTAGTTGTGGACCAGATGAGATGGGGAAAATAGTATCACAAACAGCTGCGGAGGCTGCTGTGAATCACGTATTTGCCAACGGAAATCCAGTACTATAAATAAATATATAATGCAAGGCAAGTCAATATTTATTCGCCATTGTTTATTAATAATAGTTTCTCAGTCTCTTTGTACTTTAGCTAATTCACACGTGTCCAAGGTATTACATTATTGATTATCAACAAGCAATATCGAATGATAGTTCCCAGAAGTGAAATGCTGAAACAAAAGATTGGCTTAGGCTGGCAATGTGTATATGCCAACTATTCTTGGAATTATTCACACAAAGTCTGAAAGCTTGTGTCCAGAACAACAATGGCTGAATGCCATTAAGGCATTTTTTATAACCACAAGCTTAGCTGGAAAAAATTCCCCATCAAAACAAAAATAAAGTTAATTTCAATTATGTCTGAATTCGAAACGGATTTTCCAGGAAAAGTAAAGCAGTGAGAAACCCAAGAGACCACATTCGTCACTCTGCGAGATATCTTACTTTTATTATATTTTGTCTGACCAATATTATTGTGTGTATTCACCCAACTAAAAATCAAACAAAATGTAATCAATCTCAATGGGCACCATCTGTTGCCGCTCTCAGCGGCTTAAAATCCATAAAATGTACGCAAATTGATTTCTTTTCGGGAAAGACAAACAAAAAGCAGCCAATGGACCGTTATTAAGGAGCTTAGCGAGACATTAAAAGGAAAAGTTTTCGGGGACCCACCGCCATCTCCGCGACCACAATTAAATGTCAGGCTAATGAGAAAACGGAAGCGAACAAATAAACAAGAGAACTTCGAGTGGCGGTGGCGCCACGGGGCGTATACTTAATAAAGAACTAAGCCGAAGAGAATGGGCCACCCGTGGCGTATACTTGATGTGCACGACCTACCATTTGCTGCGATGCTTGGCATTCAAATGCAGCCAACTGATGATCTCCTGCAGCTTCGAGTGCCGCTCCTCATCCTCATCCTGTTCATCGTCCTCGTCGCCCTGCTGCAGATGATACGGATCCTGAGTGTGGTCGGTGATCATGAAGGTGGGCTTGCTATACCCATAGGGCGATGTCATTTTGGTTCACCTTAAAAAACAGACACAATTCTCGCGAAATTTCGTACACTTGTCACATCTTTAATGGCCTGCGGCGCGGGGACGAAAAAGGCGGACTAAGTCTAAGCCAATTTTCACTTTATTCCTTGGCGCAAATTAATTAAAATTCAGTCAGTCGTTCGGGGCTGACTTTCCCTCTCGCGGCTGCCATAAAACTGCTGGCAGTCTCCTCTCCGCATGGCGGACACATCGGGTCATCCGTTCCCGCTGCCCCTCCCTGGTGGCCATTTGTTTGAGAACTTAAAATACAATTTACCTATGGAACACGAGCGCTGTGGGAAAAGCGTGGAAAGCGCAGCAGCAGCAGCAGCGGCAGCAGAGCAAATAAACAGCAACAACCACCCGAGAAAATCCCTTGTTGCTATTCTATTTTGTCTTGTTCTCATTTATTGACCAGCGTTTGTCTTTCTATATACTATATATCGTATATACAGGCAAACACCTTCATATGCGGATATTCTGGTCAACATTGAACTTGGCAATGGTCAGTCTCAGGAATTATTTATCGCTGTTTATGTTTTCCCCCCAAGGTGCATTTGGGATAAGTGCAAAAATAAGAATATTATGAAATTTATAGGTTGCTTTATAGGGTTCTTAACGATTCCAGAAATCGTTGTGATAAATGTAAAATTCAAATCCCAAAATCAAGACCATAATTTTCCCTTGTTTTCTATTTACTGCCTGATTAATTTTTACGATTTCCCCACTTTGACCTCAGACAATAAAATCTAAAATTAGAGCATTTTACACGACATTACAAATACAACCTTGAGGGGCCTTTTCATCAGTCCAGCCAAATTTTATCGAAGCGAACAAAAATGCATATGTACTTCAATATTTCTTGTATATTTTTATACATTTGCCAATCACAAATAAACGCTTAGATATATAGATATTCTTAAAATATATGCCAAAATACAATAAACACATCAAGAGGCGAATGCAAAAAGGACAACGTCTACAGTAAAATTCACAAAAATTAGCAATTAGATTAGGTATAATAATATATTATTAAATAGGGACTTTGGGGGGTTTTAATTACGGAGGGATTTTTAATGCCATTCAAAGACAACGTGGGCCACCAACAGATAGATAGTCATCAGGGTGATCTGTCCCAGCATCATGGGAAAAACAGTCCTCAAATACCGGGTGAACGAGAGCTTATAGCCATGTTGCTCAGCAATTCCGGCTGCAATGACATTGGCCGATGCTCCATAGAGCGTTCCATTCCCGCCCATCGAAGCGCCCAGGGTTAAGGCCCAAACTAGTGGCTGAAGTGGCAAACCCAGCGAAGGTTTGGCCACCAGCGACGTGACCAACTTGACCATCATGGCGGCCACCGGAATACTGTCCAAGATGGAGGAGGCCAGCGCCGACATCCACAGTATCATAAAGATGGCCATGGCCAGGCGATGACTCTTGCCCACCGACAGAATCACATGCTCGGTGAGCTCACCGATGCACGAGAAGATCCCCAGCCGCTCCACGCACTCCATCATCACGAACATGGCGGCGAAGAAGAGCAGCGTGGTCCATTCGATGCGGTGCATCAGGTGCTCCATGTCGTCGCGATTCAGGATGATCAGCAGCAGGATCACGCCCAGCAGAGCCACCCAGCCGAGGGGCAGGGTCCTCCAATGGGGCACGGATTGGATAAAGAAGCATATGATGACGAACATCAAAGCTCCAGCGGATTGGAGTAGCAGCGTCTTGTTTTTGATGGGATACTGAAAAGGAGAGAGGTCTCTTGATACAGGAAATCTTAGGTTATAATGATGAGCCATTACCTTCTGCTTAAGCTCATCCAGCGTGTTGGTGTAGACCTCCGAGGATCCCACGCCCTTTTGCAATCTTCTAATCGTCCTCTTGAGCTGCTTAACTTTCCCCTGAAGCGTTCCCCTGACCAACTGGGCATCCTTGGAGCAGGAGGCCACGGCATTCAGGGCCCTCTGCCACACCTTCATCTCCCTCCTCAGTTCACTCATCTCCTTGGGCTCATTGAGACGCAGTGCATCGATATTGTGATAGAAAAGACGGAGATAAACGCAGCTTTGGATGACAGCTAGGAGAACTCCAGGGAAAGTATGGGCCACAAAAGTGGGAAAGGTTACATCCTAAAAATAAAAGGGTTAATATCTTAATATCTTACATAAATTACCTTACATTATCCACAATGAAATGATTCGTGCTGACTATAATACTGATGGGATCTCCGATGGGCGTAAGGGCTCCTCCGATATTGGCGTGCACTATAATGCCCATCACCACGGGCAGGGGATCCAGCTGCATCACCTCGCACAAACGGATGGCCACGGGGGTCAGGAGCAGCACGGTGGTCATGTTGTCCAGCACACTGGACACCAGACAGGTGACCAAACAGAGGCTATAAATCATGGGCCATATCTTGCCACCCGAAATCTCGAAACAAAAAACGGCTAGGTAGTCGAAAACCCCTGTTTCCGTCAGTATCAAAATGAGCAGCATCATGCAAAAGAGTAGAGTGAGTAGCTCCATGTCCATCCACTGGATAATCTCATCCATATTGGGACGATCTGGAAGGGAGGTTAAGGATGAGTTAAAAACTTAGGTTACTTAGCCTATCAGCAACCCACCATTAAAGCAGGCCAGTGCTGTGACCGAAAGAATCGAACAGATCATGGCCACAAAGGTTCTTTCGAACAGTTCCCACACCAGCAGGGCATAGAAGATCAGCAGGATTAAACCAGCCAGGATACTGCCCGTCCTGGCATTCACTATCAGAGGATTGTAGTTGAGAATGATGGCCAAGTCCGTCTCCACATCGCTGTGGATATGCAAGCGGAATTCGCTGTCCTTCTCGGCCAGGAAATCACTTAGTTCCTGGGTCATCTGATAGGTGCGATTACTCCCGGTGGCCGGAGCACGTACCAACTCCTCTTCGTTGAGCAGAGGCAAACGCCAAGCGGGGAGAATGTCCTAGAAAATATATAAAATTATTTATACATTTTTATAAACGATTAGTTAACACCCACCTGAAACACCTTGCTGCGATTCTCGCCAACGTAAGTGGACACCTGCGGCTGCACAGTCAGAAATCCGAAGCTCAAAGTCTCATTTTCAGGGGCATCCAGCGTGGAGAGCTCCCTGAAAGCGCCATGGATCTTCAAGCGAAAGTCACCAGTGGGCTTTTGAATTAGCTTAAAAACTAAAAAATACAACAAAAATATTTTAAAAATAATTTATAATTTTTTTTAAGTACCCTAAACTCACACTTTCCCTTCTCGCCCTGCGGCACATCGATTGTCTTCTCCAGCAGATGCTTCTCGCCCACCGAGATTAGGACTACGGCGGCCAGCAGCCAAAAGAGCAGCAGACCACCCCGTTTCCACAATTTGTCCCGCTGTCGCTGCTCCTTGGAGCGCTTGGATTTGTGATGGATGCGGCGGGCCAGGGACTTGGCATTCCCTGGTCCATTGGCCGCTTCGTGGTCGGAATGGGTGGTGGCCTCGTCATCGGTGGCATTCTCATCACCTGGCCTGACCTTAATGTCCAGAAAGTCGGAGCCGGCATAACTGGAGCACGGCTCGTCCTGAATGCGATGGGAGTTTTTTATTTCGACCTCATCGTAGCCATCCTCATCCTCGTCGTCAGAGGCTCCGGCGGAGGAACCTTCAAGTGGGTGGGAGACATTCAAATAATTAATGAGCTAACTAGACCTTGGGAATGGGCTGACATTTATTTGGATGTCTGACAGTTTATTGATTTAAATGATATGGTTTTTTTGTAAGCTGAGGAATTTTACTGATATTACCTACTGTAAATAAATAAATTCCCAGATCTGATTGACTCACCATGAATGCGTTCGTTCTCCATCTGAAAACTGGCCATGCTGGGATCGTGGCGAATTTCGGCGGGCAGTGCGCGCCATACCTGTAGCGACTGTTCGGTGACCTGAAGGGCAGCCACCTGGTTGTGATGACATCCACTCCTGGGACTCCGATGCTGCAACTCGATGCTGGTCTTGTCCCGACCGGGACTATCCGGCCGCAGATTGCGTATGGTATCCCGCAGACCCATTGTCTTAGGACTTAAAACTCAAAACCGGTAGTATGGGAAATCGGGTGGCAGAGCGTGGGAGCTTTTCTCACACAGATTGTGGCAATGGCAACGGGCACGTCAGCGAGGTACAGTAGCGGACATCTTTGCCGCACACGAGGCACGAGGCGACTGAACGGAATCTTCAGCGAGCGAATATAAATCCGAGTCGCATGCGAAGCAGTTGCGGGGTTTCGGTTTCCATTCAGCCAGCCGGCGCTGCTTTCAATATTGAAAGTGAAAATGCCCCCCGACCTTCCGTTTCTACGAGGCTTTGTAGTCGCCGATTTCCAGGATGGCGCACGCGTAGAGCCATTGTTGTGGATTCCCATGTTTTGCTCGCCTCGTTCGGGGGTCACGATTCCCATCAACAAGTTTGCATTTCGCACTCCCACGATTTTCCACACTTTGCCACAGATTATTACTTATTCAAATGCATTTACTTGACCCATTAATTTCCGCCACCACCGCTTTTGAATGCACTCAATTGCTCATACGACGTGTGCGCCGTCTTCAAATGTTTATATATAAACTCTTATTCTTAGCGACTGCTGTTTAAGTTTTAATCACTCATTGACCTATGGCAATCTTCGAAAAGAATTGAAATGTTTATATTTTCTTATAGGAACAGAAATTATTTAAAGTTTTAATTAGCTTACGTTTAGCATACTTTTTGGGTTTGCCAAAAATTCGAAAATTTCTTTAATATAGGGGAGAGTGGGGGAATTTCGTCAGCATTTTTTCAAAGCTATTTTTTGTCCATCTTGAGACACGTTATCATATTTCTATTTTTATTGTTGAATGCGGTTAGCACCAAGCTTTAAAATGTGACATTCCCCTATTTTTTTAATTAGCTTGGTGATTTATAAAAAAATAAAATGTAAAACCAATATACTGGGGCAATCTCACCACACAGGGGGGTAAAATCACCACACAACTGGGGAAATTTCGTCACCTGAAAAATGTAGGGAGTTTAACGCCTGAAAATATGCTACACTGATCAAGCGTACCATTTTTGTTGACGTCCTATATTTGTTGCTGCTGCTGGTAGTCTGTTCGTTAGCCAGCTCGTCAAATATAAAAATATGTATTTAAAATAGGTGCGAATTTACCCTTAGCGTAGGGTGGCGAAATTTCCCCAGACCGTACTTTTTTAGAAATAATTATTTTTCTTGCGAAATTAGGCGCGAAGTTAAAAATCACTGACGCAGAAATGCACATTATAGCACTGTGTATTATATAAAAAATCGTGTATCTTATTCCTTTTGAATTGTGGCATACAGAAAAAATTTCGTCGAGAACTAAATGTAGCTTTTGAACTGTTAAAACACATTTAATATTATAGCTTAATTATCTTGGCCTTCTGTGCAAAACAAATGCATTGGTTGTGTCTGGCCGTCTTGAAGGACTAAAACAAAAAAATTATATATTTTTACGACTTATGGATTCCGAGATATTGCAGTTGACGAAATTGCCCCTGTGACGAAATTCCCCCACTCTCCCCTACCTACAGGAAGAGAGAAAATATGTGCACAGAATATCTTTTATAAATAACAAATATGGTATTTTAAGTCTTTACACCTGATGATCTATGTATAAATTATAAATAATTTTGGAATGGTTTTTATTCTGTGTTTATCCGTTTTGTTTATATATTTTTAATTTGTTTAAATTTATATTTGCTGTAGGGTGTTACTCACGTAAACGGTAAAGGGGCTGTCCATATATTACGTAATCATCTAGGGGGGGGGACCACCAAATGATTACTCTAGTGCAAATTATTTTTTTTTTGTATGAAGAATTGATTACATGGGGGGGGGGTCAAAAGTCGCCGAAATTGTGATTACGTAATATATGGACAGCCCCAAACATATTACTTAATTTAAACTTTTAGATGAAAATCACTTTGAGCCCATCATGAATTTTAATGGAAATTTTTCGGTCAATCTTCAAATTTGCATCCTGCAACGACTGTAAACTGTGGGTTGATTAAACACTGTTGTGTACACAAGAAACGTGCCAAAAACGACTGTTTTAGTAAGCTTGCCCAAACATAAAAGTGAAATTATTTACACAACTTTTTGCCCTATTTATAAAAAGTTAAATGCACAAAAGACATGTTTGCACACATGCAAGGGTTTAAGCAAACGGAATTACGGCAGAATTCAGGCCTATAAAAACCGAACGCAGTGCTTCCCATGAAACACTATCACCGCTTCTAGCAAGGAGTAACAAAATGAAAATAGCCCTGATCTACATAACTGGTAAATAGTATACGGAATCGCCTTGTAAGTTTAATCAACACTCGTTCTTTGCAGTGAGCATTCTGCTCATACAGTTTGTAGAGGTTAAAGCCGATTACGATTGGGAAGATCTTCCGGATGGACCCGTCGAAGAAATAATACCCGGAGATGGAGGTGACACTATCTGGAACCCCGATCCAATGGAGCCCTGTGAGTGCGAGGATAATCCGACCACAACCGAGAGACCGACTAGAAGACGTACCAAGCGAACAACCACGAGACGAACAACAACGAGACGAACAACCACGAGGCGAACCACCAAAAAAAAGACAACCAGAAGGACTACTCGTAGAAGACACACCACAACCACTCCAGCTACACCGGATACAGATGCGCCTTCTACGACCACGGATGAAACGTGCACTTCTCCTCCAGCAACGTGCAGTTGCTCCGATCAAACTACTGCGAGCACTACAGACACAGCCCCCGACACTACTACCCCAAGAAGTCCCTGTAGCGTTGACACTTCTACTGCAATTCCTCCTTGCACCTGTCCCCAAGAAACTTCTAGTGCAATACCTACCAGTACCTGTAGCGTCGAGACTTCTACGGCACTACATACCTGTCCATGTGGCATAGAAACAACCACAGCATCGCGATGTGAAACAACAACAACAACATCCACAGCTTCCACTCCAAGATGCCCAACAACAACAACAACCCCGCGTGCTCCAACAACCACTTCCACAACAAGGGCAACGTCGACAACTACCACTCCAAGATGCCCAACAACAACCCCGCGTGCTTCAACAACCACTTCCCCAACAAGGGTCACGTCGACAACTACCACTCCAAGATGCCCAACAACAACAACCCCGCGTGTTCCAACAACCACTCCCACAACAAGGGGCACGTCGACAACTACCACTCCAAGACCCTCAACACCGACGTGTTCATGTGCTCCAATAACTTCCACACCAAGAGGCCCAACAACAACCCCGCATGCTCCAACAACCACTTCCCCAACAAGGGCTACGTCGACAACTACCACTCCAAGATGCCCAACAACAACCCCGCGTGCTCCAACAACCACTTCCACAACAAGGGTCACGTCGACATCTACCACCCCAAGATGCCCAACAACAACAACCCCGCGTGCTCCAACAACCACTTCCACAACAAGGGCTACGTCGACAACTACCACTCCAAGATGCCCAACAACAACAACCCCGCGTGCTCCAACAACCACTTCCCCAACAAGGGTCACGTCGACAACTACCACTCCAAGACCCTCAACACCGACGTGTTCATGTGCTCCAATAACTTCCACACCAAGAGGCCCAACAACAACCCCGCGTGCTCCAACAACCACTTCCCCAATAAGGGTCACGTCGACAACTACCACTCCAAGACCCTCAACACCGACGTGTTCATGTGCTCCAATAACTTCCACACCAAGAGGCCCAACAACAACCCCGCGTGCTCCAACAACCACTTCCACAACAAGGGTCACGTCGACAACTACCACCCCAAGATGCCCAACAACAACAACCCCGCGTGCTCCAACAACCACTCCCACAACAAGGGGCACGTCGACAACTACCACTCCAAGACCCTCAACACCGACGTGTTCATGTGCTCCAATAACTTCCACACCAAGAGGCCCAACAACAACCCCGCGTGCTCCAACAACCACTTCCCCAACAAGGGCAACGTCGACAACTACCACTCCAAGATGCCCAACAACAACCCCGCGTGCTCCAACAACCACTCCAACAACAAGGGGCACGTCGACAACTACCACCCCAAGATGCCCAACAACAACAACCCCGCGTGCTCCAACAACCACTCCCACAACAAGGGGCACGTCGACAACTACCACTCCAAGACCCTCAACACCGACGTGTTCATGTGCTCCAATAACTTCCACACCAAGAGGCCCAACAACAACCCCGCGTGCTCCAACAACCACTTCCCCAACAAGGGGCACGCCGACAACTACCACCCCAAGAAGCCCAACAACAACAACACCGCGTGCTCCAACAACTACTCCCACAACAAGGGGCACGTCGACAACTACCACTCCAAGACCCTCAACACCGACGTGTTCATGTGCTCCAATAACTTCCACACCAAGAGGCCCAACAACAACCTCGCGTGCTCCAACAACCACTCCCACAACAAGGGGCACATCGACAACTACCACCCCAAGATGCCCAACAACAACAACCCCGCGTTCTCCAACAACCACTTCTACAACAAGGGGCACGTCGACAACTACCACCCCAAGATGCCAAACAACAACAACCTCGCGTGCTCCAACAACCACTCCCACAACAAGGGTCACGTCGACAACTACCACACCAAGATGCCCAACAACTACTCCACTGACAACTCCTACACCTGCCTCCACAACGACCCCTTGTCCGCCCACAACGACTCCAACAAGTCCTCCTTCAACAACCCGGAGTTGTACCACTACAACACCAGCAATCACAGTTCCCACGACAACCAGGACAACACCTCGTCCGTCAACCACAACGCGTCGTCCTTGCCCTTGCCGGCCACAACCTCCCAGCCAGATTCCGCCGTGGAATTGGTGGTATCCTTTTCCAACTTTCCCCAACCCCGGATGGCCCTGGCAGCCAAACCCAGTTTTCCCGCAGTGGCCACAGTTCCCAGGATTTCCCAATCCTCAGTGGCCGCAGTTACCGGGTAATCAGCCCTGGCCGGCACCAATGCCTTCTCCTCAGTGGCCCTGGCCTTGGCCAAGACCACCAGTAGTGATTCCACCATCCAACGAATGTGAGAACATATGCGAAAACCTCTTAAAGGGAGTAAAGTATCAGGAAGATCTCATCAGAAGGTGCTTGTGTGCACGTCCATAACTTCATAAGAATCATATAAAATATGTTACTAGCTTATATACGAAATTGTTAAAATATATTTAATACTGTTTTAATAAAATGTTTAATATGTTAAAAATCGTTTTCGTGTAAGTACTTAACAAAAAATGTTTTTTTATAAAAACTTCTAGCATATTATGCTCCGGATAGCTTCCATCCATCTGCAACAACCAAGAAAAATTTTAGAAAATGAAGTGTAGTTGTACCTTAGGAACTCTGGTTACAGTTAAATTTTAACCCTACTTAAAATGCTTAAAAATAAACTCAACAAACATGATGACCATGTGTTCAAACATGCAAGTATAAATAGAATTTAAAAATATTTTTTATTTACATTTTTATATTAATATACTGAATTAATGCGCAAAAAAATTATGCAAAACAGTTTATTTTCGTTATAGAAATAGGTCAATGTGCCTGAAAGGTTTAAAGAATTTTTCAACGTTTCGCTTAACCCATTTTTCCTTTAACAACGAAGGAAAAGCTGAACTACTTTTTTTGTTGATTTCCAAATTGGCGCAGGCGCTTTTTTAGTTTTACGGATTTCCATGTTTTGCTCGACTCGTTCGCTCACCCACAAAAGCTTGGGCGCCATCCATCAACAAGTTTGCATTTTGCAGTCCGCCCCCTTTATCGACACTTGGCCAGATTATTACTTATTTAAACGCAATCATTTGACCCATTATTTTCTAGCGCCATCGCGTTTGGTTGCACTCCATTGCTCATGTGACATGTGGTCGCGCTATATATTTGTTTTCTGGCCGATTGCTTAAGAGCCATTATAAGTTGGACCCCACATTTGGACAGGTTTAATGACCAATTGTCTTGGGGATTGCAGAACTCATTCCACCTTGAATTGGCTTAAAACATTAGCTGGTGAAGAGGAAAAGTAGATTGAGGTGAGAAAAAGGAAACGATTTATGTAATCGAATTCTCAAGTACCTATTAAATTGTTTAATATTTGATGAACTAAAAACTCATAAGAAAATTGTTTCTATCAAAAATATTAATCTTGATAATATTACAATATAGTAAGAAGTGAGTAAATTAATAGAAAATAATTTTAGTGTTCCAGGGTATTCCGCGCCCAATAAACCATCACCACTCCTCATCAGAGTCAACTTATAATTTGCTGGTAATTTATCAAAATCTAGATTATTATCCTGCTGATGGATTATGTTTCGGGTCGATTAGTACCCAATTTCGAGGGGACTATTAAAGTTCGTCCTTCGTTCAGGTGAGCTTGCACATTTCCTACACAATGAGCAGATGTTAATGGCTGCCTTTTTGTTGTTTTCTTTTTTTTTTTTCTTAACTTGTTAATACAAATACACAGTGTGCCAATTCAGAAATCCAACAAAGTATAGTGGACACACCAACAAAAACAGCTAGCAAGGCAAATAACAAGTTGTTGACACAAAGGAGGCTTTTTGGAGTGGACCAACTAATAAAAAAAATGATTTTTAATATACTTAAAAATATATATAAAAGTCCCAACAATATATATTTTATTATTGGCAAATAAAATTGTTTAATAAATAATTTTATAAACATTTTGTTATACATTGCGTATACTTAATCTGGGCATGAAGAGTCCACTTTAAGGGACACACACACGTGGTCACAAAGGGGGTAACGCTTAGACCCTGCACCCCACCTCCCCAAAAAGGGTCGGGGGTGGATTTAGTTTGGCCCTGCTCACTGGCTAGCGCGCAAAAAATAATTTTGTTATTGTGTTTTCCCTCATAAGTGGACATGACGGACCCGACGAAAGCTCATTCAGCGCTGGACGGGCGAACTGGAAAGGTCCGAGGCGGAAGATGTCATCGCCGGCAGAGCGGGCGGACTTCGTGCAGCACTTCGTACTCTTCAGACACCTCAGACAGCCTGAGCGATGGGCTGCGGCTCCTCCATGGATACGCAGACGAATCCCGTCGTCACGGAGGTCAGCTCGGAAATGCAACCTCGCCAGAATGGCGCCGCCGGAGTAATGGTAGTTGTGCGAGTTTATCCACCTCCGCAACCCTAATCAATACCCCTTTTTCGTCACTAGAATATTGTCGAGCAGTATGTGCGGCTGGACGAGCAGATCAGCAAACTGGAGGGCACCTGTCCGGGTCCGCGAATGGCCACCGCCGAGGCTTGGGTGGAGCATTTGCAGGGCAAGCACGAGGCGATGCTGGGACTGGAGGGCATGGGAGTGGCGCCCCTGCGGGAGAGGGAACGGGAAACGGAGGAGGAGAACGTGCCCCTGGCAGCTTACACGATGGGCCGGCAGGGCGACCCAATTGTGGCCAACACGCCCACCAAGGACCTGGCCCAGGTAAATGGCCCGTCATTTCCCCCTAGGACATTATTAACTTCCGTTTTTTTTAGCTCGCCTACAACCTGGGCGTAATTGGCGATGCCCGCAAGGCTTCCATGCACGAGGATTTCTTTGCCAACCTGAGCGAGTCGGCCTTGTATTTGCTCAGCATTCGTTACTACGGTGAGCTGCTGGAACACACGAAGGTGCGGCTGAAGACCCTGGTCGAAAGCTATGCGGAGTTGAACGAACTGTACGTGAGGCAGGATGGGATTATAGCGTACGTGAGCGGGGGAACGTACATGACGCGGCTGGAGGAGAGCCTCGACGAGCAGCTGGAGGCGGCCAGGGATACCAGAGATAAGCTGGGCAGCGCCCTGGAGCAGTGGCGCATCTGCGGATTACTGCTAAGAGCAGCTGCCAACTCCTCCACGCAGGCATTGAAGCAATGGCGACAGCTGGGCAGGATGATGTGAGTAGCAGACAGGGGATTAAGTAGTACTGATTGACATGTAATTCCTCCATAGAGATCCCAAGCAGAAGCTGCAGTGGGCCTTGGACTGCCGCAGTCTGCTACACGCCTCCATGATTTCCCTGGAGGCGGCTCATCTGGCTCTGCCGCACGTGGAGCTGAAGTACATGAGTCATCGCCAAGTGCTAGCCGTCAAGCACTGCAATACCTACCTGATCACGGACATAGCCAACAAGGCGCGGTGAGTTAATACATTATTATTATCCAGAAACTTCTCTAAATCAAGGCAAATCCCTTTCAGTTACGAACACACCACTCGCGTCTTTACCAGCTACGAATCGAATACGTCCAAAACCTGCACTTGGCTCTACGAGACCTTCAACAACACTCTGCGTCCCGACTTTGACAAAGCGGAGGAGACTGTTAGCCGGCTGTCCAAGACGCTACGTGATCATCGCGAGGAGGTCTTTGGCACAGTGCGCAAATGACAAGAAACCAATTTGCTCAATATTCTGGGTTTTTTGTACATTACTTTAATAAACAGTAGGCATAACTTTAGTACCAATAGCTCTTGGCCGGCGTGCGTTCCTCCTTGATGCCCATTTCCTCCATGATGTCCATCTCAAAGGTGGACAGCTTGGGCTGGAAGGTGATCTCGCCCACAACAGCGCCTGAAATGGTCAGAAAATGATTCTTAAACATGAAGAGAAATGATATCCAATGAAATCCCTTACCAGGCGTATCCTTCTCCCTTTCGATATAGGCATTTGGTGTCTTGTAATCGTGCGTCTGGTTGTTTGTCTCCGGAACGGGTATGATTCTGCCCGATCTCAGCGACACACGCACCTTCTCGCCCTCCTCCGTGAAGCGCCACTCGAAGTCAGTGCCCTGCAGATCCGAGGGATCCACCAGACGGATGTCCTTGGTGACATGCAGCGGTGCCTCGGACTTGATTATGATGCCGGGGAACTCCTTCTCGCCGCCCACCTTGCGGTAGTGCCAGTTGAGTCCCTCCACAATGACCCAGTTGCGCTCGGGGATCACCTGGGTGACGATTCCCTGCTTTCCCTTGTCCTTGCCCACCAGGACTTCGATGCGATCGCCGCGGAAGAAGCTCCAGTCCTCTGGAAGGTTTAATTAAATGGGTAAAAATTGATTTTAAGGATTGTGGTGCATCATTTCCTCACCAATTGGTTCCACCAGCACATGGCGACGCGCTGTTCCGGGCATATTTTGTTGGCGGAAGTGACCCGTCCATGAGCGATTTGTGGTGTAGCGGAATCGCTTGCGCTCCACTGTGCGGGGCAGGTAGTTAATTTCCTTCGGAGTTTGCCAGTACACCTGTTTGAAATTAATTGAAAATATTTATTTTTTTAATGCAAATATCTGTTACGTGAGCCGCTTTGCAAAAGTTCTCCAATGAAAATGGCTTTTGCGGTTACCTGCTTTTTGCTGCGCTCGATGTATTCCTTGGGCAGATTGGAGAAGTTCTTCAATTTGCTGGCCAAATATTGTGTTATACGCATTGTGTAAGTTTTATTTAACAATTAACAAAAACTAAGAAATTAAATGCGGCTTGCAATCAGCTGTTGGAACCTGAAGAAGAGCCAGTCACAGCGAAACGTGGATAAGGTACTTGTTTTGAATGTTTATGCGGCAACAAAAATCATGAACAAAAATGATTAATTAATAGAATTAAAACTGGTTTTTAATTTCTTTATCAGCATTTATATTTAATTATATATATATTTTATAATTTTCTATATTTTAAGAATTATTTTCCACATAACGACTAACGTGTAAACTCCTTTCGTTGTGACTGGCAAACCCGCTAAGAAGAAGCAGCTGTTATTTGTGCTGCTCTTGGGTTTTTTTATCGCTCGCCGCAGCCCTAAATTGCGATGCAAACCGGCTTATTATAAACAAAAAGGTAAATGCTAGACCATATAAATGTGGGCACGTGCAGGTGCAGCTCCATTGGAAGACGAGCTCGCTTGCGGAGACGTCTGTTCCATCCGCCCGAAAAGAGGCCTCGCAGCGCTTAGTCACATCCATATCGCAGCCGCACGCACGCACACCCTGATAACCCAGTTCCTGCCCAGAAATAAGTTATCGAGAATAACAAGCAATATGTCCCACCACATAGATATGGAAGACCACGCCGATCCGGAGCCCGTGCTGCTCTCCAAGCACGCCAAGAACCTGCTGCGGTTCCTCAATCTCCTGCCTGCTCGCATGGCCTCGCATGATAACACCAGGTAGGTGGATTCTTTCATTATTCTTTTTATCATTTAACTTGGTTTCTTGGATCCCCAGGAGCACCATTGTGTTCTTTGCGGTCTGCGGCCTGGATGTGCTGAACTCGCTGCATCTGGTGCCGCCACAAATGAGGCAGGACATCATCGACTGGATCTACGGAGGATTGGTGGAGCCACGCGACAACGAGAAGAACTGCGGTGGCTTCATGGTGAGCATAAATTCGCGTCTGTCAGGTGAACAAACAGCCCGTTGGCAAGCTAAACAAGCTTCCTCTCGAATTCCTTATCTCCATACGTGGCCAGGCAGCAGACACTGCGGCAGACCTTGTCGCATCCCCACATATTTGTTGTTTATCCACTCAGTTGATACGGAGTCACTCGCACTTCCTTCTCTGAAAAGCATCCGCTAAGCTTTTATTCGGAAGCTACAACATAAATTACCAAGAAATTGTTATCATAGGATAATTTATACAATTTATACCATTTCTTTTTTAGAATTTACAGCGCCACGTTTATTTTTATTTTCCCATCACACCATATAAATCTACCTGCTTGCACATACAATACCTATAGAATTAATAGCACCGAAAGATGCCAGTTATAAATTAAAAGAATTCTTAAGTGGAGTTTAGTTACTCATATGTTTTTTATTAGAGGTCAGCAAACCCCTTTAAAAATATGATTTAATGATTCATAAATACTTATTGGATCTACGAATTCAAAAACAAGTGAATCAAAGTTATAATCTTTCGAAAATAATAATAACTTAACTTATTACAAATCCCCTTATTAATCCATTAAATAATTAATTTCAAAGTCAACTCAGCGAGCTCACGCTGCTATTCTTCCGACCTCCATTGTTCAAATATGCATAATTGTAGGGGAGTTCTCCATTTGCGCAGCAGCTCGATTTACCAGAACCCACCCCACCCCACTTACACCTTGGTTTTATCGCGCCACGCTTTATCAGCGACGCTGGGCAACATGCAAAACCACTTTAAGATAGATAGATCAATTAATTGCGCTACTCTTTGCAGGGCTGCCGCGCCATGGTGCCGAAAAGCGAGGACGCCGAGATCTTGGAGTGCATGCGCAAGTATCAGTGGGGCCACCTGGCCATGACGTACACCAGCCTCGCGGTGCTGGTCACCCTGGGCGATGATCTGTCCCGCCTGGATCGCAAGAGCATTGTGGATGGGGTTTCGGCGGTTCAAAAGGCCGAAGGCAGCTTTAGCGCCTGCATCGATGGCAGCGAGGATGATATGCGCTTTGTTTACTGCGCCGCCACCATCTGCTACATGCTGGACTACTGGGGCGACGTGGACAAGGAGGCCATGTTCCAGTTCATCACTCGCAGCCTGCGCTACGACTACGGTTTCAGCCAGGAGCTGGAGGGCGAGGCGCATGGCGGCACCACCTTTTGTGCCCTGGCCGCACTGCATCTCAGTGGTCAGCTGCAGCGACTGGATGCCGTTACGGTGGAGCGCATGAAGCGTTGGCTTATCTTCCGGCAGATGGACGGCTTCCAGGGGCGGCCCAATAAGCCGGTGGACACGTGCTACTCCTTCTGGATCGGCGCCTCGCTCTGCATTCTGGACAGCTTCGAGCTAACCGACTACGCCAGGAATCGGGAGTTCATCCTGAGCACCCAGGACAAGCTGATCGGCGGCTTTGCCAAGTGGCCGCAGGCCACGCCAGATCCATTTCACACTTACCTAGGCCTCTGCGGACTGGCCTTCACCGGCGAGCCCGGTTTGAGTGCCGTAAATCCCAGTCTGAACATGTCCATGGCCGCCTACGCTCACCTGCAGCACCTGCACGAGAAGTGGCGTTCGGAAGACGGTCGAGGGGACGAGGATCTCGGCCTGAGCTCCGCCGCCAGGCAGCAATTGCAGCTGACTAAAGGTGGCGAGGCGAAATCCACTACAACGACTACCTCCAACTCGCCATTGATTCCGGCACAATGATGGGAAACCGCATGAAAGTCCAAGGAAAACGTTAAAGCACACTATTGTATTTATATTGGCCGCATTTTAGCCACGCTTTTTTACCTGTATTTTAATGCCAAGAAAAGCACGAGCTTTTGGAGAGAGCGATGAATAAGTAAGTATGTTTATTGTACAGCCTAGATTAGTGTTAACAATGTGTAAGATTAAGCTTAAAGGTAAATTAAAGCGTCCCATGCTGAGGCATGTATTTACAGCGAAAAGCCTCCTTGGGTTCATTGGTCCGGAATTGGGGTTGAAAATCTCATACCTGCAGGAAGAGGCGGTGGTGCTGCAAGCTGGGCATGTAGCCCATGCCGGGCCGATCGATGTGCACACGCCCGCGGAGTGGGGCGAGCACCCGTTCGGTGACCAGTGGACAGCGCTGCACCATCAGGGACTGCAGCAGCGGGCAACTCTGGGTGAGGGCGCTGCGGAAACGAAAGGAAAAACGAAGTGGAGGCTAGTAAACAAGGAAATCGCTGGGATAGAAGTCGTTCAGGTTGTACGCATTGTGTCCCACATCCTGCGGCGGCCTGTCGATGAAGAGACGCCGCTGGCGGAGCGGTGCCAAGGAGCGTTCCGTCACCCGTGGACAACGGCGGATGAGCAGGGTCTGGAGGCGCGGACAGTGCACTGATAGAGCGCTAAAAAGATACGCAGATGCGGATGCAAATAGGTCTCCCCAGAAACAACACACACGGACACACAGGATTACAGACAACGAGTCACATCTCTCAATGATTACTTACTGCACTCCATAGTCGGAGATGGCGGCGCAACCGATCAGGTTGATGTGCTCCAGCTCGCGGCAATAGTTGCCAATCTGGATGAGCACTTGGTCCGTAACACTGGGCGTATTTGCAAGCGACAAAACGGTGAGCTTGTTGAGCTTCCGGAAGAAGATAATCAGGCAGCGCTCGCCAATGGCGCCGCAGTACGAGATGTCGAACTCCACCAGCTTGCTCTGATGCAGCGTCAGGGCGTCGACGGCTCCGGTGGTCAGCCACTGGCACTTGGACAGCTTCAGGACGCGCAATCCCTTGCACTCCACGATGATGGGCTGCAGCGAGAGGGCCGTGATATTGACGCACTCGTTCAGGTTGACGGCCCACAGGCGCTGCTTGTTGTTCGCCAGCAGAGGCAGCAGCAGCTCATCCGTCAGCCAGCGGCAGCAGGCCAGGTGGAGCACCTCCAGCCGTCGGCAACAGCGGGCCAGCACCCGGAAGCCCACATCAATATTGCTTGTGTTGTTCCCGGAGAGATGCAGCTCCTGCCGCTTTTCCAGGGCGGCCTCTACGAAGCGCTGCGCGGTACGCGAACAGCAGCGCAGGTTGAAGAGATCCTTGAGCGACAGGTGGACGGCCACCTGGGGGATGAGCACGTCGTCCCAGCAGACATCGAACAGCGATTTGGGTGCCGCAGAGGACGGAGTGAAAAGTGGCCTTGGGCTGGGCGCTCGTGCCTGCGGCCCACCACTGGCCATGGCCACCAGGTGGGCCTCCTCCTCGGGGTGCAGGGTGCACATGCTGCCGCCTCCGGTTACGTGATCTGCCCACAAACAGGCACAACAAACGCAATCCTCAGCTGCACGGCGAAACGCAATTGTGTTGTTTACTTGCCAGCAATCAGCTGAGCCTTTGCCATTCACACAAAACCAATCAACAGGGCCCTTCAAGTCATATGTTACCCAGCTGCGGTATTTTTAGCAGTATTTTCAAGGTGTGTAGAAAACATGTAGAAACTATGTAAAACGATTTTTAGTTTACTTCGTAACGGTTAGGTGACCCCGATCATTTCTTTTAAACCAATTCTATCTATATTTCCTAAATAAATAGTATTTCTTACTGTTACAAAAAGGATTTTTTATATTTCTGCTCTTCAAATAATCTATTTATTTAACAAATTTAGTAAGAAATACCAGTATGGTCCCGGATCCAGTCCAGGTGGTAGGTTACGCGCTGGAATCCAGCAGGAGCACCCCACGTGCAGCCGGTGGCGGAAACGAAGTTGCTGACTCCCACCAACTTGTTGCCGTCGTGTGTGACCAGGGGACCGCCGGAGTCTCCTCCGCAGATGGACTTTCCGTCGACGTTGCGGGTGCAAATGATATTATCGCCCTTGTTGAGATAAGTCCAGTTGCACTCTTCGTTGGCGATGATCTGGAGGTCGACGCACTGCAGCCAGTCGGGGAGTGGGCTGCCATCGTAGGTTCCACCCCATCCACAGGCCACAGCCCACCACTCATTGTAGTCATTGTAGCGATCGTTGTAGCTGGGCAGCTCCACCTTGTTGACCATGTGCCAGAAGTCCACGTGGGGGATGCGGATCAGAGCGATATCAGCGTTGGCATGCTTGATGAAGTCGCCGTTTCCGACGGTGTGGGTGAACTGGGCGTTGGTGCGCCAGGTGGCTCCAAAGAAAACTGTCACGGAAGCGGCATCTCCGATGCAGTGTTCCGCAGTCAGGACCCAGGTGTTGCCGATGATCGAGCCACCGCACCACCAGCCTCCGCTGAAGCTAAGACCCACCGTGTAGGGTGCCTTACCCTCGGTAGCGGGATATCCGTTGGTGATACGGCCCTCCATCTTGATAGCCTTGGGAAGGTCCTTGAAGAAGACCTTGTCGTCGAGGGCGGCGACCGAGGCCACGGCCAGAGCCAGGATAGCTAGGAACACCTTCATGTCGATGTCGATACTGACTTCTGATCCCGAGGGTCAGCCTTTTATAAGCCTTTGGGCCCAGCTATCCCTATCACCAACTTAAAGGGGCTCGTAAATATTCCTCAAGACTCCCATAAACGATGTCATCGATAAAGACGGAAAGCCACTTTGCTCAGTGCTCTTTAGCGGAAGAAGCCCACTAAACTTTAAATCCAAATGGTTATATGTGAAGCCTACCTCATTTAACAGATTTACTATATTTAAAACAGCCTATAATGGAACTGTTAATAAATAAATAAAAAACTTAATCTATACGCGGAACAAATGTTTTGGGTCTATAATTTATTTTGCATACTTTTTATACCCTTGGTGAGGGGTATTAAATGAGTGGATCTAGTGGGTCTTTCGTCCGTCCGTTTGTACTATATTTTATCGCATTCTATTTACACTTTGTGATATACATTTTATTTATTTCAAAATTAAATTTTACAAAAAACATTCGACTATTTTATATAGCTTCCATAGAACGAAAGAAACTAAATGTAATATTTTTTAAATACTGGTTATTTTTAATTTGATCAGAACGATCTTGAAGGGTATATAAGCTTCAGCTTGCCGAAGCTTCATTTTTTATGTTTATTAAATTTATAACTTTGTTCGTTAGCACGCTCCGTCTATGCTATCTAATCATAATTTTAATTTAAAATTTACAGTGATCTCTCGCATGAATTGTTTTCAATATTCAATGTTTATCAACAAACAATAAAAAACTTCCACCCTTACTGTATAAAGCATTTTTAGTTTGGTGAAATTTTTAAGGCATGAGCAACCTCGTGAACTTGTTTATGTCTGCTTACTGTCATGATAAGAATAAACGTGAGTACTCTCTAAAAACCAACTGTTGCCAGGGTAAACTATAGAATCCTCTTCAGCGATCCTTCTCATGACTTTTATTATCTTTCTATTTAATTAATAGGTGAAGTATGACCAATTAGTCAATTAGAAACAACTAAAACACTTTGTCCAGACTATGAGTACCACAATACTAACTACTCTGTTACAAAAATGTTTAACGTATCATGGATAGCTCAATATAAAAACCAATATATATAAAAGCGCACTTCAAAACATTCTGATTTGCAACCATATTTATAAGCTAGTTTTATAAATTAAAGCAAATTGCAAATTTGTTGATAAAAATGTAAATTTTTTTATTTTTTAATTTGTTTGTTAATTTGTTTATTTTTAAGTTTTTAAGAAATGCATTCATTTTGGCATCGAAGTATATCACTCATACGTACTGTTGCCTTTGATCAAACGTTTCTACCATGTCTTCACAAATAAATTTCTCCACTTAGGCATAACTAGAATGGACACGCTAATTCCCAACTTTTAGTTATTATATTCGTCTATTTAACTCGTCTAGCGATCCGGATCAAGAATATATAATCTTGATAGGATACATATTTCATATGCCTTCCAATTTTCTATCAATAGTACGGAATACTTTAAAAAACTTTACGAACTGCTTTTCAAATGCTCTATTTATTTAAGGAATTTAGTAAGAGATGCCAGTGTGGTCGCGGATCCAGTCCAGGTGGTAGGTGACGCGCTGGAATCCAGCGGGAGCTCCCGACTGGCAGCCGTTGGAGGAGACGAAGTTGCTGACTCCCACCAGCTTGTTGCCGTCGTGTGTGACCAGGGGACCGCCGGAGTCTCCTTGGCAGATGGACCTGCCGTCGACGGTGCGGGTGCAGATGGTGTTGTCGCCCACGCTGCCGTAGGTCCAGTTGCACTCGTCGTTGTGGACGATCTGGAGGTCGACGCACTGCAGCCAGTCGGGCAGGGGGCTGCCGTCGTAGGTGCCGCCCCATCCGCAGGCCACGGCCCACCACTCGTTGTAGTTGTTGTAGCGGTCGTTGTAGCTGGGCAGCTCCACCTTGTTGACCATGTGCCAGAAGTCCACGTGGGGGATGCGGATCAGGGCGATGTCGGCGTTGGGGTGCTTGATGAAGTCGCCGTTTCCGACGGTGTGGGTGAACTGGGCGTTGGTGCGCCAGGTGGCTCCGTAGTAGACGGTCACGGAGGCGGCATCTCCGATGCAGTGCTCGGCGGTCAGGACCCAGGTGTTGCCGATGATCGAGCCACCGCACCACCAGCCTCCGCTGAAGCCGAGACCCACCGTGTAGGGGGCCTTGCCCTCGGGGGCGGCGTATCCGTTGGTGATACGGCCCTCCATCTTGGTGGCCTTGGGCACGTCCTTCACGAAGACCTTCTCGTCGAAGGCGGCGGCCGAGGCCACGGCCAGAGCCAGGATAGCTAGGAACACCTTCATGTCGATGTCGATACTGACTTCTGTTCCTGAGAATCAGCCTTTTATACGCAACCCATCTGGAGCTTAGTTCGTAAATATCCCTCGAGAGGGTCATAAATGATGTCAGTGATAAGGAACCAAGACAGGAACCAACTTCTGTGGTCCCCAAAAGTTCCATAAATCCAAACGGTTGTATCAAAGCCAGTGAAATCAATAATTAATTTAAGAAATCTTTATGTTCCTTTCATATTTATGGTGATCGCATTTAATTATAATGCACCGAAATGGGCACGGCTACTTAAAAAGTTGACTGTCATTTTCGATTAGATTAACTTTAGTAAATCGTATAATAGTCATTGACAGCAATGAATATTCAGGGGGTATAGTATAAATCTATAAATTATTATTTGTGTTATCCACTAATTCATTATGTATTAGTTTATCTGCTATGAAGCGATCTATTTGTTTTTTAAAACCTACAAAAATCTATTATTATATAAATCTGATTAAATAATTGATTAGAAATTTAAAGGATGTTTCCAATTTGAAGGAACATTAGTAATTTAGATTATAACTGGCAAACATCTCCACAGCAATGAGCTTGCACTATTTTAAGTCATAGTTATCTTTATCAATGGAAACACAAATTATGAATTTGAGATTATATTTAAATTTTTTAATTGATAAGAATATGGAAAGTTTTATAGATGTACTTTAAAGTTAAGATACGTGAAAGTTAAGATTTGGTTTTGCCACATGCGCAAAACCCTAATCTTATCGAAGGTTGGTCCCAGAAGTAAACAAATCCCTCTGATTCAATCGAGAGCCAAACTGAGATATTTATAAGTGGGAATGGGCCAGATAAGGATTAATATGAAAATTAAAGGGTGGCGGAATTGTTTTAATATTGGTATCAATGAATTTTTAATTTTATCTATAGAGAAACACAAAAGCCATCGAAAATTTCAACAGCCGCTAGATGGCGTCAGTAGGTTTAATGACTGCATATCTTTATCTCCCTCGCACTCCCTTCACCTGAGTAAGGGGTATCCGATAGTCGATGTTCTTGACTATAGCGTTCTATCTTATTTTATTAAGGGAACTCAACATTATAAAAGCAATTAAATTTCCGCTTTTTTTGTACCCAAAGTTGCATGCAAAGTTTTAAAACTAATAAAAATCTGGTTTCATATACTGAGCCAAATATAATTCCTGATATCTACACACAAAAAAAAGCATGTTCCCGTAAAACCGAAATGCCCATGTAAATTTCAGGACATGCAAAACCCATATCGTTTTGACATGAAATACTCTTTTCGAGCAGGTTAAATTTAACTGACCGCTTATCAAATTAAAATTGATCTTAAATATTGTAAAATCGATCTACGTATCATATTCATTTTTTTTTTTAGTTTTCGAACCCGTTCCTCGTGACTATGAATTCAAAAAAACACTCCTTAGTTAAATGCAAGACAGTTTATTTCAAGAACGAAACGCAGCTGCTTAGTAGGAGATGCCGGTGTGGTCGCGGATCCAGTCCAGGTAGCTGGTGACGCGGGTGAAGCCGTCGGGCAGGCCCGAGGTGCATCCGTTGGAGGCCACGAAGGAGGTGACGCCGACCAGCTTGTTGCCGTCGTGGAGGACCAGTGGGCC